TTCCTTCTCCGGCCACCGACGTGGCTTTATGTTTTATTAACTAAATTACTATGTTTTTTTCTATTAGTTCTTCAACGCTCAATGTTGGCTCCATCGATTCGTCGCTTCTCGTTCTCCTCTCCTCGTCCCTCTTTTGTTTGCATTTCTCTTCTTTCAGTGCCCCTCGGTCCGTGGACGTCGTCGCCGTCGTCGGCTTCTCTGGTGTATCGTGCAATTTTATACGCCGTTCCTCGATTATATTTAATTGTTCTCCCCGCGCGTTTCCTATCAGGTCGCCTCGTATTTCGCGTTAAACGTTTCACCTGACCCGGAATATTCTACGCCACCAGACGAGTACAAAGGTAACACGAGTTTGCCTCGTAATAACATTTAGAAAGGAAAATTAAACGCGGAAACGGACTATCGGACCGGGGCCTCTCTTCTATACATCCCTACCCAAAGAATCCATGGATCGCATAAATTACCACCAGTTATCGTTATTCTATAAATTATCTTTTACTTTAACACTTTCACTGCCACCCACATATGGGTGACAGAATTTACCACTATCATACTAAAAAAATGAATTCGCAAGTTAAGACGTCGAGGGAAATGAATCTCGATGGAATTTGTGAATTTTAACAAGGTTACGAAAATAAGTTTAGTGTAAAATACAAATTTTAATCTTGCAGAATATTTATAGTTTTGATCTGGCAGTGAACGTGTTAAAGCTTCCTTAAAAGGGAATCACAGGACGGAGGTCGGTTTGATCCCCCCCAGCGAGTTCGAACCACTCCCTCGGGGATGTTTTTCCGTGGCGCGGAGCTGTACCTACATGTCTCATCGAGAATCTCCCGAGCACCGCGAGAAGACGAAGAGGAGCGATTTAGAAAAATAAATCGTTGGCCCCTCCGCGCGCGCGCGCGCGCGCAAGGTGCTCGGTTGTTTACAAAATTAATATCCGCCCGGCGTTCCTTGAGGATGCGGAGGAACGGCGAACGGGGTCGTTAAAACCGCGGATCCGGTAAAACGCGCAACACCGAAACGCGAAACCCGGCGGAAAGTTTGGAATTTACTGCTCGACATATTGGCTGCGAAAGCACACGAAATTAAGGCTAGTAAAACACTTTCCTGACACCTCGCACGCCCCTCGCCCTGCTGCACACCTACTGCCCCCCCCCCCCGCGACCCCATACCACTGCCCTTCTGCATACTCTTCTGTCTCCTGAACGTAACGTTCGACATAACTCCTCTTTTATATTTATCAGCGTTCGCGGAACGTATGGACCGAGCCGACGCTACCAACAATTTCAAGCTTACTTTCTTCCATTAAGCTCCCGCGCCTCGACTGCCGTTTTTCTCGTTTACGTGTTTTCCGGAATAACATCGACGCGATCGAAACGTTCTTTTATCCCTGTATCCGTCTTATTTTTACCTAATTGCTGGATACAGCCTCTACTAGACTGCCTATTACTATGCCATAATGTACCTTGATCGCCTAAACATTATATTATAGATCCTCGTCAGAAACTAAATGTGCAACGCTACGAATTAATAACAGAAGAACACAACAGTATGGTCCATCTAAATTACTTCCGGACCATATGTTTTATTTAATATGGAAATAAAGAGACGCGTATAAAATGTATATGGAGACAGAACCGCGTAACTCGAGGTCTCGCTATACTGGCTCTTAAAAAAGATTCCCAGTGTGCAATTTAACATTGCCGGCTTTAGAACATGAATCATCGAGTTATTTCAAGCGATTCCTCCTTAGGAATTCAAATCGGCCCGTACCGCGGCGAAAACGACGGAAAAATATGTTCAACATTGGAGAAAGTTGGGTTAATGGAAATGGCGGGCATTAATAACCGATTGGGAGATCTCCATCTTTCCGCCATGCTACAATGTGAGCTCGTAACACAGTCACAGAGTATCCAAAGGTATCCTTTCGCTACGCTGAATGCGTTTTAAATAATCGAAATTCCTTAAACGGGGAAACACATCGAATTTTCTAAATCCATTCTTAACAATTTCCGAAAAGAATTTCCAGATCACTCGTTCCAAGGACAACAATTTTCGTTCGTTGGTTTAATAAAGTTATTGCTTGCTACGAGCAGCCATTCTTCGTGGCATTTCCGATGGTCGAAAATAGCTACGTCTAAGGGTTGTAAAATATGTATTGCATCGGGGGTATAACGATATTAAAGTAATATTGTTTTTGCTAGGATATCTAATAAGCGATATCGTTCAGACACGATCCTTTCTTGAAACTAATTACTTTTCAGTGTGTTTGTTATCGATCGTGACAAAGAATAGCATTTTCAAATATGGAAAAGAATGTGTTGTTTATCGTTACGCAATCGTCTAACTTGGTCCCATATGATCAAAGCTACTCTGTAGAAGGAAACGTTGAACAGGAAAATTTGTTTACTATTTCTGTAAGTCATAACATTGAAATACGGATTTTACGTCGATCCTAGCAGAAATACGATGCAAATAAATTGAACAAATGTGTTTAAACTGAAACACTAACTTGCATCAGCAAGTAGACGGAAACCATTCACGTTGCGTAATAAGGCAACGGAATACGAAACAATAATATGATCGGTCGTTTTTCGAGCGTTTGGATTTTTATCGAAATCGTTTTGAAACAAAACGTTACGCTGGTCGTTTTCGCATAAAATTTCTGCGAAATTCGTACGATCGATCGATCGTTTGGAAAATGCGATAAAATCGCACGGGAACGATTTCGATTAAATATACGGGGCGTTAAAAAAAAAGAAGAAAAATTTTGCGCAATTTCGATGTTTGATGAAACAAAACGACATTTCACGCGAAACAATTTAATAGGTCCGTTAGACCTTTTCCCGGCCCTTTGTCGCGGCACCGCGATTCTTTCTGTGAATGTAAAACGTTTCTAGAAATGGGATTGGATTTAGAATGCGTCGTTACGAACGTAACGCTCCTTTATTCGTATTTCTGTCCCGCTGTTACATGCAACAGGCAATTTCGATAACTGCACCTTTTACATCAAAGCTCTACTATGTTCGTCAGAGGTTTGAGAATAACGCCGTTAAAAATTCCAGCCCGCAACGATATTTCCCGTTTTTAACTGTAAACTTTCAACGTTGATTCGACCGACGCAATGTTTTTTACTCGATTTATATGCAATTTCGGGTTTCGAACGTCCCGATCGGATATTCTCGTTTTTCCCCCGTTTCGAAAAATGATCAAACTTGGCCATCGGTTTCCGGCGGTCGAGTTGCAGTTTCGTTCGTAAGATGCACTCGAATTGCATATGGCTTCGAATGCATCGCGACGGTACTGCACCCGCCATCTATCGGTTGCTACAAACCGATAATACAGGCACCCGGCTTGCCCGTTTATTCGCGGCGTATTGTCGTTTATCGGTAAATAAACGTATTCGAAAATAACATGGACGAAAAATAGGAGGGGAAAAAGATGGAAGGTTATAAGAACGTAAAATCAAGAGACTTACCAAAAATGACGAATGAAAAATAAACGGGGGGTTACGGGAGTAACTGCAACAAACGAAAAATTGTACTTCAAATACAGCGTAAACGACACAATAAACACAAAACATCAACTTTCTGTGTATCATAGTTTTTATTGCCAGAATATTCTTGGATCGATCAGTTATAATGATTTACATGTTGCGTCGAGTGGTAAGAATAGCAACGGTAAGCGTAAGTGATTTTTAATTACAATCAATCTTGTCGCGCAAGCATCTAAATATATATCGTACGTGTCGCGGACACCTTTTTACACTTGGCGCGTTAACGAGCTGGAGCACCAAACGCAACTATTTTGACTTTTTTCAACGGGACAAATAAACTTTAGAGACGCACAATTGCAACCAACATCGTCGTGTCCACGCTTCGACGCATACAATTGAGAAGCGAGAACACCGAACGAGTCAGCGACCGCTCGTTAAATTATTATCCATCGCAGCGAAATTAAAGATAAATTGGCTGTCGTCGAATTTGGAAAGATCGGGTTTATACACAACTCGCGGTACACAACCACTTGTGGATCGTAGTCACCCAAAGATCGTGCTCCGGACGTCGGTGAACGCGGTATTTAACGCGAGGACATATGCGAATGGAAATTCGGAGCACGGATGCAAGATCGTCGCGAACCTATACACGGTATCGTGAAATACGGAAGCCGAGCGATCGAATACGACCGCAGGTTATCGTCGAAATTTCGACAAGAGTCTGCGCGTGTCAACGCCATGTCAAATTTCGAGGAGCGTTGCTCGGGAAAAGTAAAAAGAAGTCGACGATCTTACCGAAACTGAACAAAGAGGGAATTACGGGCTCCTCGTAACGTTCACCAACAAAAATTTCACATGGAAAAACAACACAGAATTCACAAAATACTCCGAACCTAGCGGCGAGATGTTTCCTGCAGACAACTGCATGTATACACAGTCGACGGTGCTGCCGCGCCTCGCTTACGCCGACCAGTAGAAACAAAATCCTGCCCGCGCTATTTCAAATACTCTAGCCGGACATAGGGTTATTTTAAAACCGACGAGAACATTCGACTCCCATAAACCGCCATATTTTTAGTCGACGTTTCGATTCGATAGAGTTTTACTCTTCCTCGTTCGAACAAACCACGAACCATTGACGATCTCGAAGCAAACATCGTTCGTATTATTATCAGAATATAGTCTGGTTCAAACGATATTGATTTAAACAAAATAAAACAACGAGCACGAGATTATCTCCTATAGTTATCGTTTTATTTCGATTCAAAGTCTAAACTGACGATACGCGAGCTAAAATTAAATAACACGCGATAAAATTCGGAGCATAATTGGAAGCGATTCGAAGGACCCAGTACTAGTTACAGCACTGGGTGCGAGGAGGAGAGAGGGATGCGGCTAAGGTTTCTTCGCGTCTCTCTCCCTTCCTCTCGTGTTCCCCCACTTTCCGAAATATAGATTAATAAGGGTAACGGGGTAGCCTGAAGAAGGGGTGTGCTAGCCGAAGGGTGTTGCGTAGCAAGTAAGAGGAATTGCCGCGATAAAAGAAGCTCGAAAGATCGTAAAAGACGTATACGATCGAAAAGGATGGCCACGGAATAAACGAAACACACAGAAGCAATACCCGGTGGAAAGAGAGCATGTAACGGGAACAGGGGTTGGCGAGTGGAAGGGAGAAAAGGGATGGTACCGACGGCAGTGAGGAAGCAGTAGCGCCTTTAAAGATGGCTTCCGTGGGTAGTAGCGTGCCGTGTAGCTTCCAAGCATAAAAATGATCGAAAACCCTTACGAAGCCGCCAGTGTCGGATAGTTCGCACGGTAGAGACGGTGGAAAGGATAAAATACTCGTTCGCGGTGTGTCGCCGCGGATCGCCGTAAGAATGTTCGCGATTTCGGAGCACTCGGCCGCTTGAAGAGGCGAGAAGAAGGATCTATCTCGGCGTGATGAGAGAGAGCAGGGGAATATAGCGGTGCTCGTCATTCTACCCCGTCTCGAGTGACAGTTGCTTACGTAACGGATTATTCTCGCTATGATAACGATATTCCAGCCGCGGACGTGAAACAAGAAACTATTTTACCAGGTTATTCGCGGCGCTGGCCAGCAGCAATCCGCTAGAAATAAGCATCGCGACTGACCTGAATTTTCACTGTCTGTTGTCGCGATATCGCGCACCACGTCACTGCTCGACGCTCCGCTCATCGTTATCTTTGTCTCGGATACGCCGGAAAACCACGTCCGAGCATTTTTCGGTCGAATGAAATTATGACAGCGGCGCTCGTCATGGAAAACGTGAATTGGGATCCTGGTGAGTAAACGGCGCATCGTAAACTAGCCGCTAGCGTTATTTTACCCTTTGTTTTCGCCGTTTGTTCTTTAAGCGACGCGTTACAAACGCCACATAGACTTAACGAACAATCCTGCCTACCCGCGCGTCGCGTACGCGGATTTTTACCGGTACGCGAAACTTGGAAAAACTTTAACGCGCCGCACACGACAGGTGCTTCGCGTCTATTTCTGTCGGAAAGTTTCAAAACGGTTTCACGCGAGCATTTTAAGTATACAATTGTAACAGAATAGCTATTTACTACCTACCCGTGTCCGCGTGTATTTTTACTATTCCTGAACGTTTGTCGCGCATTATTAACTCGCGAACGGAAACGTTCAGCGAGCGCAAACCGTTAAGTTCCCCTTTTCAGCGAAAAGAGTCCCTCGAAGCGGTCGCAGGAAATTAATTTATCGATCAGGTGCTAAATGTGTCGTGAACTGGATGTTTCCGTACCGTTCTCGAACCACGCCGAGATTCTTTTACAATACGAACGCCGATAAGAAACCGTGCACCAACGCCCGCGACTTTCGACGAACGATCGGCTACGTAGGATTTCGATTTTCGAGTAGGTTGAACGATCGTTGTCTCGTTTTCAGCGTTGTCCAAGCTCCTGAATTCTCTGCAGGAGAACAAGAACGAAATACCGAGCTGCACCGAAGAGGAGTTCGGATTCCTCAGCGATTTATTGCAGTCCAAGGAGTTGAACGCGTTGGTGAACGTTCACAATAAGATTGTGAACAATGTCAAGGACGACAAGTTCTTCCCGGTGCTCTCGAATTCCATGGACATCGACATCGAGGTTTTAGACATGCTATCGACCAAGACGCATCTCTCCAAGGACTGCAAGGAGCTCTTCCATCTACTCCAAAAACCTCACATACAGGTACTACATAAAATTTCAAATTTTCTAAGTTCCTTTTTAGTAGAGATCCAAAACCCGTATGCTTGTCGTTATTCTACTGTCTCTTTCGCCCAAATCGATATAATACCGAGATTGCTAGGATACCGAAACCAAAATAATTGGTATAGCTAAAACGTGCCCGAGATTTTTGTTAAACCGTACAGCTCCTTTTATATTATCCAGAGAAATGCAAGTTGCATCGATGTCTGAACAATTAATGGGAGAGAAACGTTGTCGCAGGGTCTATTGTGCGCCCACGATTCGGTTGCCCAGAAAGACTACTACCCCCGGTTGCCGGATATACCTCTGGAAGTCGACGAGGACGAGGAGACGGTGAAGATCGTGCAGCTGGTCAAGTCGAACGAGTCCTTGGTACGTCAGATAGGCCGCACGTTCGGTACTTAGAATGTTTTTGAGGTTTTCCCCTTGATTAACATGGTAAAGAGAGGATGTAGTACAAACTGATGGCTCACGATCGACGGAGCCGAATAAGGATAGAGAAACAACTAGAGATAGCGTAACCGTTTTAGCGTAATCACGTCGATTTGCATGGGAACTTGATCCTGATTAATCCTTTGTACCGACGTAGACGCGTCGTGTTCCCGTAATAAGTACCGTAGTATCGAATACATATCCTCGAGCATCGCGCGAGCGATGCTCAAAAACACTTCTTAAGTAATCACGTGTTTCTTTCATCGTCAAACTTGCTTCGAAGTGTGGCACTGGCATTGAACCGATCGTGGTAAGTCGCCTTCAAGCCAAAACATGTACAGGCCTGTAAACGTTTTTATACGTATCGTCGATTCGCAGTACGATTTTATAGCGTTTTAGTTCTCATTCTTTGTTTTTCTTTTCGTTTACGTTCTCCTTGTTTTCTTTTCTTTCGAGTTCGTTAGGTATCTAGTTAGAATAAATTTTTTTTTTATCCACTCTGCGATCTCCATACTGGAATGAGAATAGAGCGTGGGCGATAAACGAGCTGTAAATAGAACGCTGTTTGTTTTCCTTTACACTAATTCGTTGATTTCGCTTACATCTTACTTTACACACCCTGCGTCCATTTCAATCCCCCGTTGTTTTGTGTTTTTCTGTTTGTGATTTTTGCTTGTAAATAAAACGATTTCTCTATCGTAACAATTGTATCCTATGTTATTGTCCCGCATGTCCTCGTGTAAGTGTCGCTGATCTCTCGAGGTAACGCGACGCCGAATTTTCTTCGAATTTCCCGCGAAATTTCTCCCGGCGTCGTCGTATCTCGAGAAATTCCAAGCGAACGAGCGTCTGCACCCGACACCTTTGAACGCTGTCGCGGTTTTCGATCGAGTCACGTATCCGCGCGTACGATCGACGAATACGGTCGCGCGACAGCTTCGATCGAGCGCGTGCGTGATCGATGCTCATCTTTTTTTTTTTATTCTTTTTTTTTTTTATTATTTTTTAAGAGAAACGAAGGCGCTCCGTAACACGCGCGACTTACAACGCAATGAAAAATATTAGTTTGCACGTTGACAATAGGGGGCGACGATAAAAACGTGCGAGCTCACCGGCAAGATCATGATAGCGCGAATAATGCATGGCGGCGCGGCCGATAGATCCGGCCTCATTCACGTTGGGGACGAAGTCTGCGAGGTCAACGGCATCAGCGTCGAAGGAAAAACTCCGGACGGCGTTCTTAGAATACTGGTAGGTCGCTGCTTATCTCTCACCTTTCACCGGGTATTTCGATCTGGACGAAAATCAGACGGTTCTATCGAAAACCTAGATCGGAATGCCCCCTTCGTAACGCCGCTTCCTTTTGCGATCGAGCGTTTCGTTCCTCGATCAAAATTATCCTAGTGCGTGATAATTGCGCGCATAAAAGACACGTGTCGTATCTTTCAGCAAAATTCGGAAGGTACGATCACGTTTAAAATAGTGCCAGCGGACAGCAAAGGTGGTATTCGGGAGAGCAAGGTAAGTCCCAGAAAGCACAGAGTCCCCTCGTCCAACGGGAAACGTTTTCGAAAGCCTCTCCGGTTGGACGAGGACCCTAAACCCCGAAGAACGGTTTAAAAGAAACTGTTGTTGCGCGACAGGTGCGAGTGAGAGCGCACTTTTCGTACAAGGCCACCGAAGATCCTTACACGCCTTGCAAAGAAGCTGGACTGGAGTTCGCGAAAGGCGACGTTCTCCACATCGTCAGCCAGGACGACGCTTATTGGTACGACTCCAATGCCTAGATTCGTTGTTTCACCAACTATTACGCCAGTATTACGCCCCAATTATATTCGTTTCGAAATAGGTGGCAGGCCAGGCGCGAGGGTGATCGAAATACGAGAGCTGGCCTGATCCCCAGTAGAGCTCTTCAAGAAAGACGAATTATTCTCGAGAGACAGCAAAAGGAAAAGACCGACGACGACAATATAAGTAAGTCACGCGGTGCGCGGCGAAACATTGGATCATCCTGGAGCCGTTCGCGCGGCTTACGTTTTAAAACAACTCCATCGAAGTTCGATATTTTAATCATTAACGGCTTTCATCGCTTGCAATTTCCCAACGTTCTGCTCCATTTTTTCTAGTTTTAACGTGATTTGCAAGTTTACGAGCGAATACTAACGAACTGTAACGTTAACGCTAACGAAAATAAAAAGGAAGACTAAAACGATGACTGTCGGGTTTGTGACTTCAACGAGCTCAATGAGATTACGCGACGATTCCGTGAGCTGGTCACGGCTGATCTTAACGTATGATGGCCTGACGACCTAACCGTCGGTTAGGCTTGTGTTCTATTCCAGTGTCTTTGCCTTCATTGTGCCCCGGTCCCAGTACCTCTTCGCACGCCTCGTCTACAAAGTGCAACTTACAGGGGGTAAAAACTAAAAAAATCATGTATGACGCTGCAGAAAACGACGATTTCGACCGGGAAGAAATACCGACCTACGAAGAGGTCGCGAAGCTCTACCCGAGGCCGGGTCTGTACCGACCCGTGGTTCTGATCGGACCACCGGGAGTTGGCAGGAACGAGCTCAAGAGGCGGCTCATGGCCACCGATCCCGATAAGTACAAGACGCCCGTGCCTTGTAAGTTTCATCCCCCCAACCTTATTTAGCCCCACTAACTTCGTATTAAATTTCATCTCGAAGCCCGAGTAAAACGGAAATTCCCACCTCGAACGATCCCCTTCGTATCAAATTATTCGTCTTCGTTTGCAGATACCTCGAGGCCACCGAGACCCGGCGAAGTAAACGGCAAAGAGTATCACTTCATGAGCCGTGAAAAGATGGAAGAGGAGATCAACGACGGAAAGTTTATAGAGTACGGCGAATACAAGGGTAACCTGTACGGTACTAGTTCCGAGAGCGTCAGCTCGCTAATAAACGCTGGATACGTGTGCCTGTTGAACCCGCACTATCAAGCCCTTAAGATGCTTCGAACACCGCAAACGAAACCGTACGTGATTTACGTAAAGCCACCGAGGTTCGAGATATTGAAGGAGACGAGGAACGACGCCAGGGCAAGGTCCACCTTCGACGAGAGCAACTCGCGCGGTTTCACGGTAACCAATTATTTCGAAACGGAAACGTATCCCTTTTCGACCGCTTCTACGATCGTTCTCGTTTTTTTCAGGACGAGGAGTTTAACGAAATCCTGCACAGCGCAGCCAGGATAGAATTTCTGTACTCGCACCTGTTCGACGAAGTGATAGTGAACGCTGACCTTCCCATGGCGTTCGAGCAGCTGGTGAACGCGGTTCATCGAGTAGAGTCGGAACCTCTCTGGGTGCCTGCTTCGTGGGTTCAATAAATTATGCTTAGACCGAGGACAAGTTGGTCGCGTACAAGCAACAATATGTTTGGATACGTTACGCTCCCAACGCCGGACCTTATCACACACTTTCGTCGATGCTTCTTTCCCTCAGATTTTTCAGTAAAACGAATTCGTATTTTATCGTTCACTCCTCCATGACGTTTCCATCCTTGGGCATGTATAAGTGTTTTGCTGCGTAAGTTCCACGTTCGATTCGGGTTAAAGGAACATTTTCTTTCACGTTGGGCATAGATTCTCGAACCAGGTAGTCGAAAAATACCGATTACGTCTCCTTTACGTAGAATCTTTACTGCCATTAAACGTTTGCGATATCGACGGAAGGTTCTCGCGTCTCCGATCTTGTCGCGAGCGGCCAAGTTTCGAAGTGTATTTCGGGGAGGGCAGGCGAACCGCGTTGAACTTGTTGCCGTAAGTTTTGGGATCAACGATTGCAAATGGAAGATCGAACGCGATCCGGAATTTTCGGGCATCGGAATCGACGCGTCACCTTTGATCCCAATTGTTGTTGATTGTTGCCAAATATAAGTATCTTACCTAGAACACGGTGGGTATCGTCTCACGATTATTGTATTTTCCACTCGATCAGCATTGCCACGATATTGCTATTTTTTTCATAATTAAACGGCTGCCAGCGCGAGGAAAATTTATGCGCGCTATCGCGTCGGCGTTGCATTGAATAGTTCATCCTCGATGTAAACTCTGTATGTTACCGAAATATAGCATTACACTTTGAAATACTTGTTACTGTTTTTCCTATTCCGTTTCGAAGGCTTTCTCATTTTTTACCCTATCGTTCAAGCTTGAAACGCAGAAATAACCGAAAGACACCTTTTATCGTCCAGAGGAAATTAACTTATTTCCTGCGCAAAGTAATTTTCTAGGAGCGACGTTAGTAAATCTTGTAGCAGCGAATTTTTTAGCATTCGTCCGCCAGCGATAATTGTCAATAACGCGGTAAAAATGAATTACGAGAAATTGTCGATCCGTGAACTGTATACCCGCTAAATCGCATGCCGACGATTGCACTATCTTTGAAGCTGATACGTTGTCACGAGAAGGCACGAAAACCGATCCTTTTCACGTTGCCAGCATTGATTTTCAAACACGCGCAATCTTCGCGCCTCTTCCGATATTCAAGGTATCTTTAGTACAGTATTAAAAAGTAACGTACTCTATCGATCCCTCCTGACGATATATAATTCAATCGAGGACACTCGTAACGTTTCTTGCAGATATTTTATTGCAAATTTGGCAAGCGTTATTTGATTGAAATTATTTAGGAAACGTTATCGATCAAAATTACGGGAATATTTTTGATAGAATTTCGCAGTGCGACCGCGATCAATTTCAGCGTACCGTTTTCAGGGACGAGAGCCGTTCGATATCGTCGCGAAGCCGCAAGAAAACCCGTAGACATGGTAAAAAGAAAACGAAGGATTGACGCACTTCCGACGAAATTCGTGTTTCACGTTTACTCGAGGGCGAGTAAAAACAAATCGACCGGGACGAAACCAAGAAGTATTGGTTTCTTTAACTCGAGCATGGGTAGTTTGAAAACGTATTTACGCAACGCACACTACTCTCCGCGAACAGCTAGGAGGCTGGTAACGCGAAGCATTCGAAACACTATTTTTAGTAGACTCGGATTTTCTAATTGATCTTGAATCATCGGAGCTTTCGAGCACGTGCGTACGGATCGCATCGGGTGGCCGCGTGTTACCGTACCAAAATAGATCGTAACGATATCGAGGGAGACACACCTCAAGTGCAATAAACAATTCGACATTACCCATTTATTCGATGTTCTACGATCGAGGGAGCGATCGCGATCGTTCAAGGTACTTGGCCGAGCAACTTGCAGTCCTTGGTGGGGAAAAACTAAATTACTTTTGTTCTCCATTGAGCAGGTATCGAGGAGTAACACCTGGCTCGAGTCCGCGGCTGCGCGAACGGAAGAGCGTGCGGATACGACCCTCGTGATACTTTGAGAGCGAGGGTGCGAATTAAACTTTGGCCCAGTACTCAATCAACCCTTACACGAGCGGATCACTTCGTAACGGTTGCTCGATGGAATTAACGACGCCTCGGTACTTCGTCGACGATACGTTTTCTATACGAGGCTGGAAATTTCAAACGCGTAGCTGCTTCCTAAACGGCGATTGTATTTTTTAACGGTACGCTGTCGCGAAAGAAAACGCAACCGCGAAGCTTGCACGCTCGCGGGAACTCGACGATGTAGCGCTTCGATGGACGAAACCAAAACAGGTAAAATCCTTTCTCGAACTAAATTTTTCAAAATAAAACTTTGCGAAAGAATAACGAGCGCGTCGTCTCGTTTAAAATTTTATTTTACGGTTATTTTCGCGGAACAAGACGGTCGCGGAAGAGACGATCTACAGCGAGGAATATTTATTTTTCAGCTGCTCATCGCGGATTAAAGGACCACTAACGAGTTACGGTCATGAGATATTAAGCGACAAATTTACGGATCCCAACGGCTCGGTGTCGACCTCGTTTAAAATTAAACCGAACCTGGTCACCAGAGGAAAGAACTTTCTTACGTGGAAATGGGAACCGATCCATCGATCGTGGCTCTCGGTATCGTACAACAAGGTTCGCAGGAATTTGTCACCGAGGTTATTGCCGGCCTCGAAATGTGTCAATGACACGGTGCCGCACGTGATTATCACCAAGGCACCATTATTATTCTAGATGAACTCGCGTGCGTGCTATTGACATCGGCAGCCTTCACCGGTTCGTCGGGTTCCCTTATGAATTTTCATTAATCGTGTGTTGTATTTGGGGGAACAGGACCTGCAACGCGCCTCTTAATAATACCTTTAAAATGGCCGTACTGCTAGACTGCTCGTCGTTCCCAGAGAAACTTGTTTACCAGAAAATTACGTACCAAATGTTCGAGTGTTATTTTTAAGAGAATTCGAAGAAACGTAGATTTCACGCTTTGGTTGTTCTCAAAGTACGGCCAATCATCGTCGGAAAACACGCCCAACTAAAAGCTAATCAAACGTAACTTCCGTTTCATGCAGGTATTCGCGTTTCTCGGTAACAAAGTTACGAGTCGAAACAACGTTGCTTTATAGATCGGTCCAAGAACACGATCGTTTTAAAAAGCTCTAAACTCGCGACTGTTTTAAAAGGAAAATGAAAACTTACCTTCAAAGAAATAAGCTTCGATCTTGATTATGTTTTAATCGTAAGCAGATTAAATTGCGGAAAGTCACGAGCGGTGGTTCCATCAAGGTCGTGTTTCTTCTTTTAATCAGTTTGCAATTTCTTATCGCCACGAGCAGCGTCCTCTGAAAGAAACGATTTTTATTATACCATTCTACGATATAGGAAATGATAAAAATTCTTCTCAGGGATTAAGAAAATATCAGAGCTCCTTCTTTGTTAGTATCTTCGCGCATAATGAGATAATATTGTTTGTTGCGCAAAGTTTCAGCTCCCGTCCATCGAGACCTCTTCAACTATAATATTATCATGAAATTCATAATAAACGATTAGCGAAGAGGGAGCCAAGATGCAGATTAATATGAAGTTTACGGGAAACCCCGGGCACTAATATTAGTAAAAGAATATTAACAAACAAGGAGCGGATATTTTCTCGAATAAACAGAATTTATATTTTTGTTAACGTTAAGCTGGCGAATTTGAAATATCGCTCAAACGCGAAAAGCATGCAACCTTCCTCAAACTTGACAGGTGGAATGAAAATAGCTTCTTTGTAACTTTATCTTCATTTCTCAATAATGCCATAACTTCCTCGTGCCGCGAGCGCAAATTCGAATTTCCGCAGACAAAATACGCTTTAATTATTTTTGTTCGCGACCATCGTTTATGCTCCTTTCTTCTTGACAGATGTTTCGCGGAATACATTTTCAATTTCCGAAAAGCAACGTAAAACGCATAACGCGCTAGCGCGGCCGCTATCATTCTCTAATTAGAATTCGCAAAGAAAAACCGCTCGAACGACTCGGATTAGTCACGACGTAAAAATAGGAAATATTAAATAACAATCTAAAATTGTTTCCCGCGCGCCACTGTACAACGCTCGAAATTTATTCTGCAATGAAATCGATTTATTTCGTCTCTTCCATCTCTGTCGCCTTCTCTTTTTCATCTTATATCCGCGCTAAAGAGTCTACGCGAAAGTAAAGAGAGAAATTTAAGCTGTGAAATGTGAATTACCGAAAATCACAATTGTAAATACATCGGATGATATCTTGGTGTGGGGAATTTTCAGCGTACGAGGCTCGACGATCGACAATGACTTTGAGAGATCGTTAAACGTTTGAGAGTTTCGTCGAAGACGGCATAATCGATAGATTCTCGTGCATAAGAGGATTCAAAATATTGGCTTAACGCCAAAGATGAGGACGACAAGACTCTCGGGCAAGTGTAACGCAGCCAAAATAAGCACCAGCAAAAAGACGAGTGAACGCGGTCGCGTAAAGCTAGCTCTACGAGAGCGTCATCGCGTTCGTGAGTACCTATCGACACTGGGATCACGAGTCCTGATGACAAAAACCTACAAAATGAATCGAACGCGTCTCGAGCTGGCCGTCGACGCGATACCGTGTCTCGTTCGAAGATAGTTAACGCGATCGTGTTTCTCAAACGGCCGAACAAGAGTCGGAAAAACATTTCCGTGGAGCTGTTTGAACGGGGACCCGAGGGGGAAGAGCCGTTTCCACGATCGCGGCAACATGTTACAACGAATAGAGGACGATCAATCTGTTTAACGTCGTTTCGACCGCTGGCCGTGTTTACAGTACTCGATGAAGCCTGCTGGATCGTCGATGGCGTGGAATCGAGGGAACAAAGTGACAACGAGCAACGAGACCGTCTCCAGGAGGACTTCTTTGTCCAGTGGAATCAAGTACGACATCGGAGACAGCGTGCTTCTATCTACGGTGCAACGGAACGCTCGCCAAGTAAGCGATCTACTCGTGTTTCTCGACGTTTGCGTTTCTCTGCTTTGCTTTCTGCTTGCGTATAAAGCGAGCCTCGAAACGCGTCATCGCCGCCAAACTGATTTAAGCGTCGTTTATAAACCATTTCGCTCGTAGATCGCGCGCCGGACCTGTACCGTGATTTTTTTTTCACGATCGATGAGTTTAGCCGGGCATTTCTCAGCGTGGGTTTCACGTCCCACAGGTGGGCACTTTTTATTATTTAAACAGCCGATCGGAAAATTCCATTTAACTTCACCGACGATAAAAAGATAATTTTATTCTGGTCTATTCGTCGCTTCACCCTTATATTGATTTTTTCGACGCGTCGCTAACCACCTTTAAGAATCAACCGTTACAGTTTAAAAATTAATTCGTTGTTCCCTCTCTAAGATCCAAGACGAATTAATCCGAACTACTATATCCCGTATACTAAATAAATAAATATCGTAACATTGTTTCGAGCCGGTCGCAGAGCAAAGAGCCAAGAAAATCGAAGGCACATGCGCTCAAATCGCGGAGTAGGTTGCGTACGCGAGATCGGAGTACATGTGCCTTCGACTGCCTTGACTCTGTAGTCTATACGTGGTTCTTGACGCGGAACAGTCAACCCCTGATATCTCTAATTAGAGTCGATCTGAATTTATTTATTCAACCGGTCTAAGAGAAGAGAAATTAATCTCGAGGGTTCATCGAAAGAGGAAACGTCGCCCCCCCGGATATCGATAATATATCGAACTTTAATAGCCACCGACCGTCTCGTCGAGCTACTCGACGAGTTAACCGACATATAAATAGCGATTAGTCGAAACGGATACGGTAGAACTCGCGTGCACGTCTTGCGAGGCGATCCGGAAGGCACGACTCGCCGTCCAAGGAACTTCTCCTACTCCGGGACGCACCGACACTTGCCGCTCCGCGATCCGCGATCCGCGACACGGACGCGTCAGTGATTTCCGAGAGTTTCCGCGGGAACGTTCGAGTTTCAACGCGCTTTTCCCTCCCCGGAAGCTCCACCGCCAACGAACCTTCCGCGTTTATCGCAAGTGTTCGAGTACCATTTCGTTCGTTACCTTTTTGCTATCTTCCGGTTACCCCTAACCAGCACTCAACTTTCGCTTCGTTTCCTCTATATTTTTGAGTATCGTTGATCGAAACTCTTTGCGTCGATGATCAAGAAAAATATTCTGTAAGTTTAAATATAGAATCTGACGCGCAATCAACCCCTTGTTGTACGATTTGATCACAAGTTTCGAACGTGGTTGTTTAACTTTTGTTTGAATTTGTTCGCGGAACCGTGTTGATTGTAATATATCAGAGTTGGCGTAAAGAGATCACGACAAGGGGTTGAGGGGAGGTCCGAAGGAGTGAGGCGTATAATGTGGAGGGATGATTCGAACAGAAAGCAAGACGGATTGTCGAGGAGAGCTGGCAGGTAAACGGTCTCCAGTCCGCGCGGGTAAAGTGCAACTCTTCGCTAAAGGGCAGTACCTGCAAAGTGAACAACTACAGCATCGTCGCCTCTAGGGGAGAGCTCGCTCGAAATAACTGCGCGGCGAGAGAGACGCCGGCGCCGTGCATCGTTAACAAGAAGAGCAGGGCGATCCTCGACGCGAGCACCCGCGCCAAACGCCGTGATAGCTTTCTCGACGAGGAGTTCTCGGCCAAACAGCTCCCCCAGGACGCCGCAGGATCGAACGACCTCGGAAGGATACAGAAAGCCATTCGCAAGTCGTTCTCCGTTCCTATAAATCTAACAGAAGGTACGCCATTTTAACGTTCGTAGTTTTCCCTAAATCCCCGAGTCCTGCTTGCCACGCTGTTTCTACAAAACCGTAAAATACATTTCTTTTTTAAAATCAGAATACAAAAGTTTTTGAGTCGAGCTTACGGACATTTAAAATTTGCGGAAATAACGGAGTTTCTATTCCCGAGCGATAAAAGTATCGATCGAAGGTTCTTCGATGAACATTTTTGAAACGAAAGAAGCAGCGATTGGCAAGGACGACCACCGTGAAAGTATCTATTGCAAAGCGATGATGCTAACTGGTTCTGGACGGTCAGCCGACCTTGGAAAATGTCAGTCCACGACGGAAATTGCTTCCTTTCAGGCCTTTCAGCGGCGGAGAAGACGAGACGAAGGGCGACCGAGGAGGGTATTCTGAAAAGGTCTTCGGCTTTTTTGGCGAATCTCACCCACTCCGCGAGCAGAATCGCGAACGGTTCCTCGAAACAAGAGAAACCCTGCTCGAACGCGTACCGTTCGGGCGCCTCGCCTAAATACTCTACTCTGAAGGGATACTTCTCGATCCTGAGCAGCGTCCCTAGCGACCAGCAGCCACCACTGCGACGCTCGCCGAGCTTTCAAACGCTGCCGGTCGAAAGGAAGAAGAAAAGCCCCGCTCGCGTGAAGAAATCCGTGTCGTTCAGTTCGGACACGAGCTTCGAGGAAAAACGCTTGCCTTTCAAAAGAACCGCTGTTCACGACGTCAAGGTCTACCACAAGGGAGTCTTGCAAGGTACACCCCGCGTTTATACCGCTTTCACCCCGCCCCCCAATTGCAACGGCACTTCCGCGAGATTAGAGTCAATAAAAAGAACATTACGATCGCGTTTACTCTCTTGTTATCATATCCCCGTCCTCGTTCTCGCCATCGATCTACGAAGAATATACTTCCTCGGCTTGGTCGCCTTTTCCGGCCGCGGCCGCGGATTAGCGCGTCGTTCTTAACGTCATTGTTTTCTTTGGAAATCCTTCAAGGGGACGGATCTATATGCACGGTGCTTCGAATGCGCGAACAAAGGAACCAGTAATTGAAAAACAATACGACGCGTCGGACGTACGCGAAATCTCTTCATTTTTTTTCACACGGTTTTCGCCAAATTACGTAAACGTACGCGACTCGAACCGACGGCCTATTTATTGGTTCATCTATTTTCACGCGTTACGAAACGAGGGCTTCGGAAAAAATTATTTTAGCCCGCGTCTAACGTTTCTTCAGATCGCAGCGCGCTCGACGATAAGATCGTAAAAGTGCCACCGTCGTGGGAAACACCCTCCGAGGGCCGTTCGGCCCTTCTGAGGGCGGCCAGGGATGCCGACGACACGGCTCTCCATCAGATCGCCGCACGGGTCCGAAAATTTGGATTCGGCGACATGGACGTTAACGTGGTCGATAGCAGCGGCAGGGTAAGTGGTCTTTCCTCGTGCAACTTTCGAAATTGAATCGCGTAAACGCGCGTTCGATCGAAAACGTCGTTACGACTATCGCCGTTACCAGAAAACTCGAGCGTAAATTTACCAAACGAAACGCACTGAAGGGATAATGGAGTTTCCGCGACGCAAGTGTCGTCGTTTAACAATAAAACGAACGGACGTTTAACAATTACGTTTCAGATTTCGAATTTCACGGAACTCTTAAATATTATTTGCGTCGAATTCGTACGTGTAAACGTCAACCCAACGGATTACGACAGACATATGCGCAACGTCCGTAAATCTAGCGTCGTAGGTAGTCGAGGAACGAAGAGCATTTAATAAAACAGGAACGAGGGAAAGGCGCTATCTTAACGACCGTCGCGCTCGTCTTAATATTCCAAAGTTGCGACGCGTTGCTCGCGTTTCAAATTATTGCCGCAATAGAGTTCCGTGTGTAGAATTTCTCCCGCTGACCGCATTCCATATGCGGCGACATCGTGCTATAATTAAAACAAAATTGTTGTTTGTCCGTTCGAACCGAGTATGCGGTTGGCCCGCGTCGAAACCAGCGAATAGATAGCCGAGACGCGACGCGCGACTGTTTTCAAGCCGATCGACGAATCTTTCGAACTCGTTGTGTCTTCGTATCGACGCGAGGGGTCGTCTTCGTGGCGAAGTTAGTTTTCAGAGGTACCGCGGCTCGTTTCCTTCCGTGACGACTCGATCTGCACGGAACGGGAAACGTAAATTTACACGGCAAAAGGCGCCATCGATATCTTTCGAGGCTCGTTGCGTGCACGGTCCCGGAATCAGTGGTGGTCAAATTTAAAGATGCTACCGACCGAAAAAGGCCTCCAGGTACCAATACGAAAGATAGATTACGTTCACATCCGATCCGGATATTATTTGTTTCTTTTCCTTATTATAACAGACGGAACGAAATACGGGGTTTTCTTTCCAAGTAGTTTTTCTCGCGGGCGATAAATTTATTTCAAGGTTCGTAGATTACGTGCTTATTGTGATTAACCACCTCCGTCGGGCGTACCATCGAATAAAAAAAATAAAGGTTCTCTTTGTAACAGACTACCCCGCAAGTTCCGAATTTAGCACTGCAACTTGAACAATTGAAACATACTATGAAATTTTCTTTTCCCCTGCCAAGTTACGGATCGTATCCTCGACTTGTGACCTAATACATCGTACGTTGCGCGAAAATACGGAAACGAGCGCAATCTGTTTGGGAGTCACTGTTCCAAACGTTTTGGGTCACGGTCGCCGAATCGGTCGAACAAGGGATTAATTAGGTTCTTGCCGGCGATAATGAGTCCGTTCGAGCATCATAACATCGCTTTCGATTGGTATGTTTATAAATTCGGATCGTTGTTATCGTCGAGCTCGCGGATACTCGATGGTTAAATTTGTTAATGGCGACCGATTCTCTGCATCGAAGAATCTTTACGGCTAAACAAATCCGAGGGTTTCATCGATCCCCGGAAAGAATCGGACGGTTCTTTGTTGTGCGAAGCAATTACAGACCCGACGCGTGTTTGCCATAGTCCGCCGGATAAAGTAATAGCGTTTGAGCGATCGCGTCAACGTCAGTAACCACTTAATAAATTGACCCGGGTGACGTACAGCCTATTGTGCATCTTTCTAAGCCAAAGAATACGACGCGAGATTGTGCTGGACGACGAATCCTTTCCACGTTCCAATCTAAATCTACGTTTCTGAGCATTATTGTTCGGTGAATCGCGTAACGTTTGCGTCAGGATCGGGCAAAAGTGTTTGCAAACGCGTTGGAAACAAAAGGGGGAAAGGTAACGGGGCGCTCGACGTCCGTGGTTTAACGCGAAGGAACGAATAACGGTTCCTTTGAAAAGGCGGTTTATGTAATCGACGTGCTTTTCGAGCAAACTTCTGAGCAAGCCATCATCGAGGTTGTTTGTTTGCAATGCCAGACCGCCATAAGCTACATGGCTGGGAACGGTGCCTCGGCGATGTTGGAGCTGGCTCTGTCGTGCGAGGGGGTGGATCCGAATATTCCCGACAACGAAGGCAACACGCCTCTACATTTCGCCGCGCAAGCGGGTAAGCGATCACATTATGCTTTAAAAGGAACAGGATGGGACAAAGTGTTTTGGTTTTGCGCGAAATTCCGTACGCTAGATTGATAAAAGGGGGCGCCGGGTTAATAAATATTTGTAAACCCGTTCGGTACGAAAATAAGAAGATTCGATTCCGATCGAGTTACGTACGTCCTTCGCGGACAATTGCTTCCGCCTTCCGTCTCAGTGCTCGTATCGTCGACTACGATCGAAAGAACGCGGCCACGTGGCGGGCATAAACTTTGTAAACAAAACGTTTCTCGCGCCGTTAGAAAATAATATCTGATGCTCGATACGAGCGTAACGTCGAGCCGTGGACGCGCGACGCCCGTAAGGATGCCGTCGCGTCACCGGCCGCCAGAAATAGGTAACTGGCGTACTCGGCTACTTGAAACACGCGTGGTTTGCGGTGACGTACGTACCTCGACCGACGTTTCAAGCCAAAACGCGGTCGAACGTTACGTTTGCTTGAAATATGCGGGCACTCGAATCTTCGAAGGACGCCGGTTAACTCCGTACCCGATTTAATGCACGCCCCGTTTCCTTCGATCCAGGCCAAACGGAATGTCTGAACATACTCCTCCAAAGGTGCCAGGACATCGAGGTCGACGCTAGAAACGCGTCGGGTTTCACCCCGTTGATGAAGGCAGCCCTTCAAGGGAGGACCAAGTGCGCTAAAATTCTCTTGTTCGCCGGTGAGCATCGATTCCCTTTTCTTCTCTTTCCGCCGTTTAAACATTTCCTAACGCGCTGGATGATTCGTTTCTCATAGGGGCGAATCCAACCTTGAGAGACCACGGGAGAGGATTAAGGGCGGAACAGTGGGCCAGATTCTGCGGAAGATACGTTTGCGCCGAGGTGATCGAGAGGTTCGCCAGGCACCGGCTTTTGGAAAGGTCCACGTCGTGTCGATGGGGCAGCGAGCCCGAATTAGCGGCCAAAGTACTGCAGGGGAAGGTAAATGCGTTTCAGAGTGGAAACAACGCAACGCGCGAGGGTGCAGAGAGAATAATGAATAACAATCGATACAGTTGATGCCCATTCCTACGGCTCCCATGCAACCGCCGTCCTCGGGGCTGAAATCGAAGATAAGAAGGGTCTTTCGGACCACTTCTGGACCAAATCGAAATTTCTCGCTGGTTTCGCAGCTGACCAGCGCGGCCCTTTGCGCCAGCAGTCCCGCTTTACCGAAAGCCAGCGAAGTCCCTCCCGTGGTGAAAAGTCTTCTTCGACCTCTGAGCGTCCCGCAGTTAAGGTATGCATTCGAACCTGTTCCCTCGTTTTCGATCGATCTCTCAGCTATGTTCATATCGTCTTTCGTACCTTTCAGAGTGACGCTAGTATCCCCGCAAGACTTTATCGAGCAGTCCAAGGACAAGTTTGGATCGAATTTCACGGAAAAGATCGAGAACGCGGCGGTGAAGCCATCGCGGTCGAAGAAGAAGAACAAATAGATGGATAAAATTAATTAGAAAATTGGCTAGCGAACAAAGGTACGGAAGTCAAGGAAGATTACGTTCGTTACGTGTCTCCGGAGATAATATTTTCGATAAATGATTCGCGCGGACTCCGATTTTACTGCAGTTCCTATCGATCGACGTAATCTCCGCTCAATCTATGAATCTACGAACGTTTTCGAGTACGCCCGATGAACATTCGTGTATTCACTAACGTTGCGTAGACGTTCGCAAAGCCAGGGATCAAAAGGAGAGATAAATCATCCTTTTCCTTCCAACGCGGTTGATTTAAGTGCCGTTGTACGTTGTAAGCGTTGCTGCAAACTGTTTTCGATGGAAACGGTGAAGTCGAAGGTGTAAACGTTGGAAACGTTCGAACTTATTTTTGGTTTACGATCTCGATGGGCTGTACCGACGAGCATGAGCGCGTTAAACGCGTCGAAATTCAGGAACACCAAAGAATCGACTAGAGTTACGATGACTCATCGAATTCCGCCGACGAGTGGACGAAATAGTTCGAAAATGTTTCTCAATCGCCATCCATCGAATACGAGGCGCAAACATTATACGTGATTTTTTTTTTTTTTAAACCCAACACGCTCACAAGTACGCGAGAGCAACGCGATATTTTATAACTACGCAACGATCGTCGAAAGAACTTTTAAATAAATGTCTTGATATTAAAAATTTTGTACTTATTCGCGCAGCACTTGTTGCGCAGATATTTTTATATCGTCTCGGTTAAGGTAGGTCACAGTTGAACATTGAAATACTATACGGTGCTATTGTTGTTACGCAAACGAGAATTTTTAGGTACTACGCGCACGCTGTTCCTATATTTACACAAACAAATTTACATACACGTATAAACAGTTATGTTCGGCGCTTGCAAGCACAATGCCAATTATTTCGAATCGACAGTGTGTGGCGACAAAAGTACACACTGTTGAAACAAGATACGAGGTAGAATGAGATCGGTAGAAAAAGATCCGAACGTTTAGTCTGTGAGCCCCATCTCTGCAGGGTGTTCGGCCACGCCTTGGAAAAATTTTAATGGTAGATTCTAGAGGCCACAATAAAACGAAAATCAAGAATATCAATTTCTTGATCGAGGCTTAGTTAAAAAGTTATTAAAAAATTTCAAATCATTCTAGAAAAAATATTTACGGTTACGGGGGTCAATTGCAATTATTTTTTGTCAATAGACATACCCCCAAAATCCTACTCACTTTCAAGAAAAAAATTCGAATACGTGGACAAAGTCGACAAAATTAAAAAATTTCAGATCGTTCTGGAAAAAATATTTTTGGTTGCAGGGGTCAATTGCAATCATTTTTTGTCAATAGACATACCCCTGAAATCCTACTCACTTTCAAGAAAAAAATTCGAGTGCGTGGACAAAGTCGACAAAATTAAAAAATTTCAGATCGTTCTGGAAAAAATATTTTTGGTTGCAGGGGTCAATTGCAATCATTTTTGGTGGATAGACATAACCCCGAAATCCTACTCACTTTCAAGAAAAAAATTCGAGTACATGGACAAAGTCGACAAAATTAAAAAATTTCAGATCGTTCTGGAAAAAATATTTTTGGTTACAGGGGTCAATTGCAATCATTTTTGGTGGATAGACATAACCCCGTAATCCTACGTACTTTCGAGAAAAAAAATTCTTCGGTATTCTTGATTTTCGTCTTATTTTGGCTTGTAGAATCTCCCATTAAAATTTTTCCCAAGGGTAGCCGAACACCCTGTATAGTTGATCGGTTAAAAAATATATCTTAAGATTGTTATAGTCGAGTAAATGCCGTCGGAAAATTATTCGAACGCGATACGGGTCACTCGGACTTTCTATTACGGCGTTGTCTGCGATACTTCGCTTTGGAAAGAATCTCGTACGCCTGTTGAATCTCCATGAATTTCTCCTGAGCCTGTCGCTTTTCCTCTTCAGTGCCCTTTATCTTATCGGGATGATTGTCCCTCGAGAGAGCTCTCCAGCGAGAGGTTACATCGGTCTGCGTAGCTGTTTGAGAAAGACCCAAAACCTGCGAAAGAACCCGCCGTTGGTAGTTCCGTTTTTGCAGAAGAGTGCTCCGTAATTGCTACTTGTACACTTACTTTGTAAGCATTTATTTCACCCCGAGGATCGGTCAGATCCACCAGTTGCGCCCACGTCGCCCAGAAACCTTGATGCATCGTTTGGCTCCACATCGCCTCGAGGCTAGCCTAAAGGATAGAGAAACTTTATCAAATATCTGACACTTTAACGCGATGTATTCCGTGATTTAAATTAACCTTAAGATCAAGCCATATAGGAGATGTCAAGAAATGCTGAATAGCTTCGGATAGTTTGATCTCTTCGCCCTCACTGTCGGTTACAACAGCGTTGAATAGCAGGTAGCTGCCGATTAAAGACAGATACAACGTGACGGCTAAGCTGAGATAAAATGCCCTTCGCACGAAGCTTTTCCTCTTTCTTGGCTTCAGTCTCCATTGCTTACTGAACGTATCGAAACTTAAGCTGGAACACGCGACCATTAGAAATACCCACATGGTGTCGTCTCCGATGTAGGGCAGAGTGGGATAAATCAAATACGCCGTGAGGAGAGCGCCCCATATGGATCCCTGTTCTCTACCGATATTCCCTACCGTCCACACACCTGATCACACACAAGCGTTCAAATTTTAGAAAAACGAACGAAATAAAATATTATACGATACCAAACGCCTTAAAAAATAGATCGCAGATTCACCCGGTCGGTGTAAACGTTTACGAAATAAAAGTCATCCGTTTAGTTTCGCGACTACATTGTTGCGTCGCGTGGCACAGAGATGCTCTCGATGCGTCACCTCGTGCCCCGATTTCGAATGGAAGCATAAACTAATGTGTCTACGAGCTCTTCGAGTACCATTTTCCGGAAGTAGCTGTTATTTGGAAAATCGGGCCACGAGGTAACGCGTTGGAAACGCTCCGAATAGACCACCTGTTTACTTTGTGCCTTGCAACGCAACGACCATGAAGAATTTTATCAGCTAATTACCACGTCACGCGTAAGCACGCCGTTAACAATTATACAAGATAACTTGGGCAAAAATAAAACCTACCCAATGGTTTCGTACTTGGAAAATGTATGTTTCTTACCTAAAGCGACGACGAACGGCGTGAAAATCAGCAAATATCGAAAATTAATGCCGTATACTTCGTCCTCCGGAATGGCACTGCGGTACAATTCGGCCCACAAATACGCGACTGCCGTTTCGGCAACGAATCGCGCCGTAGCGAACGGCGGCTGAAATATCGAATGCAATTATATTATGTTAAATCATGGGTTTCGCAATTATATTTTATCGTCCAACGACGAACTCGTTAATCGTTATTACCAACGATTCGAATCAGTGTACAGCCTGTTCGGCGCGTTCGACAACATTTTCGCGAGATCGATCGTCGATCGTTCCTTTTTAAATACCTTGCGATTCTGTCGGACTTTTTGTTTGAAATCTTCGAGGAAACGAGGATCCTCGTTCGCGTCCGCCACGTACGAGGGAATCCTATAGATATCACGTAGCCATCCAAGACCCATGTATCCACCAAAACTGCTGAAGTACACGAATGCGTGGGCGTACTGTTCCAGGTACACGTGGTGTGCTCCAACTAGGCCTCCGAACAGCCACAGTACGTAAGTCCAAAATATCGATTTCTTCTTCTTCGTCGATCCCTTGTCCTTCCCGTCGATCTGTCCATTTCTCGAGTCCATCTTCGTTTCTATCGTTGTACTTAAATTACACGTTCTATCACACATTTGTCACCTCGGTCATCGAAACACCGGTCCGTGCAGCCGATCTGCCCTTTGTCCGCGATTTTTGTCGACTATAGCAGCTAAACGGCAACGTTGCACACTCGACAAGTTCTGGGTAGCCTTTGTTTTTAAGTCACGGGACTCCACTGGTATTGCCGTTTGCATCGATCGCAGGTTGCATTCCTTAATCGTTATGACGTTCTTTCTGAATTCTCCTAAGCGCGACACCGAACACGCGTCGATTATTTGTTCGTACGATCGTTCACTGGAGCATTTTTCTTGCCCGCAAGATCACAATAATCCTGAGTGCATTTATCAGTGGCAATTGGGGAACTACCGAAGCTGGTTCCGTCACGCCGGTACGTACCATTTGTGGTTCAACGCTCTGTCAAGTATAACGGTACCTTTACAGGACCGTAGCAACGGAACACCGTTGCTCGTGAATCCTCCGAAATATAGCAATTATTGCTTGCAATGTTTTATACTTAAACAACCAGTTCGAAGTAATAGTACAGAAATACTTTTCTCGTGTTTGCGTATGTTCTGGTTCGGGCCATAAATTACAGTTAATATTAGCGGTTTATTCAACTTTTGGCAAAGTACGAGGAAAAACGCCTTTTTGCCGTATTATAACGCCAGTTATTTGTGAACATTGCATATACAACGATTAAGATAAAATAGTAACACGATCATCGCAATTTAATCTGACCCTTGTCTTGTGCGCTTGAGATAGGGTCGAATAACAAATGCAATAATATTAAAAGGCTCGTCATTACTTTTATCAGCAGAGTACGTCTTCTACGACGAACATAATTATTTTACATGTTAGTTACAGAGATATATTTAATCGATTCGGTTGGATTTTGGTTACTTCGTTACGAAATCTTTATTTATATAGGAATTCTATTAGAGTACAATTACGAAATCTGATGTAATCACAATATTATTGCGATAAGTGTAGGTCGATGCATTTGTCTGAACTTGACCTACAACTATGGTTGTAAAACAGGTTTCTTCTTTGAAAGTAGATGTATGCCATTGAAGCAAAAGTCCCTAGAACAAATTACTTATTCCCTATGATGTTTGAGGACTCGTATAATGAAGTAACTTCCGTTTTTAACATTAATATGTATATAATACCCACGAATTACGTTTGTATTGCATTCGCCATCGTTCGAGCCAAATTGCATCTACGTACGAAACAAATTTGCATGATCGATGTATTATTTAAAACCAGAATTTCTTTCATCGAAGTTTCGTTGGGTAATGGACATTTTGTTCTTCAAATCCTGCGTTTTGTGTAGTAAAAGTCAATTTTTTCGGACGTGACGCTGTTCGTAACTGCAACGAAAATATGGGAACAATCTCGATCGAAGTTTTCTTTCGAAGGTAACATGGCGGCGTGCACGTGTCGTCTGCAATTCTCCGTTGAAAGCGATTGTCAGACATTCGATAGCCATCGCCTCGCGGCTCTCGGACGATACACGACGTTATCAGGGGGAACAAGGGCATTCTTTCTCGTGGAAAATGTGTGGTGATGGAAGGGTGCTGTCCGACAAAGAGAAGCCATAAAGAGTGGCGACGAACGGTGAAAAAAGAACGTCGCAGACGTCTGCGTCGCAAGGCGGCCGCCGAGCGGGAAGCGGATGCGGAACGACTGGCGGCAGCACTTGAAAGGAGCGCGGACTATTTGAATTGGATCAAAGAGCGCGAGGTCGCGGAAACGGAAAAAGAACAGAAAGAAAAGGAGGAGCACATCGAACGAGAGAAACTTTGGTTGGAGGAGGAGGTAAATATACGTTTATACAATATGAAAGTTTGCTAGTTCAATTTGAAAATCTGATCCGTACCGGCATTTTGTGGCAGCCTGTATATCGCGTATCTCGCTGATTATTCAAATTTTTTATTTTCACAATCGATAGTGTACGTTCGATTGGTTATAACGTCGTTATAACGTCAGAGCTTTGTTGTAACCATGAAAATAACACAGACATGTGGTTACCGAAACCTGCTAATTATTATACTTTATCTGTAAGCCGGACGAACAAATTTATCGCTGTCGCGGTGAAACTTGGAATAATTGTATTTTCTGTGATCGGTTTAGGTAAAAGCGCAGAAGGAATGGCAAATATTGCAAGAACGAAAGCAGAAAGCCCGACAGCAGCAGTTGGAGCAGGAGATGAAAATTCGACAGGAGTTCGAGGCGAAACAGGAAGCGATTCGCAAGAAACAGGAGGAGGAGAAACGTAAGAGAGAGGAGGACATTAGAAAGCGGGAACAGTTACTGAAGGAGATTGATGATTACATCGATAATGGGATCAAGACTCCGGAAGCTCTGCGCGAAGTCATCAACAGTCAACCTGGAAAAGAGCTTTGCCCCTTTTTCACGAAGACGGGTGCTTGCAGGTGAATAAAACATTCTCAGCGCACTTTGTTCATTAAAGGCAGGAGGAATGCAGAATTTTTAAAATTATTCTTTTCCAGATACGGCGATACCTGTTCGAGGAACCACCGAAGAGTATGTTTGAGCAAGGTGATACTAGTTCCTGGTTTTTACACGCACTTTTCCCTGGAAAAGAATTCCGCGGAGTACGACACGGACGTGGCTCTAGAATTCGAGAGTTCAGAAACGCGGCAACATTTTCGCGAATTCTACAAGGACGTCGTTCCGGAACTCGAATCGTTCGGAAGAATAAAGACTCTCAAGTACTGTTGCAACACCGAGGTTCATTTGCGGGGCAATCTGTACGTCGAGTACTATACCGAAAGGGAGGCAGCAAGGGCTATGAGAAAGTTGAAAGGTCGCTGGTACGCTGGCCGGCAACTGAACTGCGAGTTTGCCAACTTGAAGTCATGGAGAAGCGCCGTTTGTGGAATGTCAAAATGCCCGAAAGGGAGAGCGTGCAATTTTTTGCATACATTTAAGAATCCGCACGACGAGTACGATATCAAGAGTCCGCCTAGGTGGGCGAAACAGTCGGCTTCGTCATCTCAGGAAGTTACCAGCAGCAGAAGAAGCGAGCACAGGAGCAAATCGAAATGGGAGGAAGGCAGCGATACGGAGGATGGGAAAAACTGGAGATGGTCCGAGTCTCCTGAGCCCGAGCCTCAGCGTACGAGGAACACCGAAAAACGGCATCGTCGTTCCGACGAAAACATAGAGTATCGACAGAAATCCACGCGCGACAAAGCACACGATCAATCTGCCAAGGGAAAGCTCACCGAAAACGTAGACACGCCGGTCAAACGTCGACGATCGAGTTCCAGGAAGCACTTCGAAGACGAAAACAAAGACGACGACGTTTCGAACGGTCGCGAGTACTCGAGAAAGTACTCCAAGAAATATCAAAGAAGAAGAGAGACGGAGGACGACTACGACGAATCGAAATCGTCGAGGCATTCTTCTAGAAGATACTCGAAAACCGACGACAAAAGTTACCGTTCGAAAAGTCATAAGCTCTCGAACAAGTATTCGGGGAGAGAGAAGGACGGTCGTGAGAAAATTAAGCAGAAATCGAGAAATCGTCGTGATCTTTCCGAAGATTCTTCGAGGAAAAAACGCAAGAAGAACTCCGACACTTTCGACACCGAAGAAACTGACGACACGAAAGATCCACCGCGTTTGAAGTCCAAGTGGGACAAAGAGAATTCTGAACAAATTAGTTCAAACGGTACGGAGTCCTCCGATACGGATTCCTCGAGCGCAACCGAAGATAAGAAGACGGAAAGATCGAGGAGATCAAAGAAAAATTCTGCGGAACACTCGGACTACGAATGGGCCACTACGGATTCCGAAAACGAACATAAAATCAAAGAGAAATAATAAAGTGGACGTTTGTTTGAACAATTTGTAGTTGTGCTTAAAAACTTGTCGCGCACAAGAAACCGATGTAATTAGTGTAATTATATAAGAAAGTACGCTTTCATACCGAAGTGCATTTAACAATAAAATCATTTTTGTACTTACGATTAGTATGTTTTCCAAACATACATTGTACGACCATTACAATCGTTTTTTTTTTTTAATCGCATTGTTCTTTCATACGAACGAGTATCGCGATTAGGTCAATTAAACACACGATTGAGCGATACCTATTATCTTTCACACGTCCATCCATATCTACAATTTGACTCGTTTGATGGATCTATCGTATACCTTCGATTGTGATTAAATGACCAATTTTTTTTAATTGCGTCACGATATCAGATAAATTTTTTTATTCCGATCGAACGTTAGTAGAGACACGTTCGATATCGCGTCCAGATGTTTTAAACAATCGTACAGAAAGTTTCATGAACCAGTATTTCATAAATCGCGATAGATGCTAGTTGAATCTACAAATTGATCGACGCTTCCGATTGCTTCGAGGATTCGAGATGATCCTTTTAAGTACTTTATTGACGTTGTGCCTTGCCTTCCATCTTGGGGATTGCGTTGGCTTCCATGGATTTCACTTTCGCGGTCTGGAAGAACCGGAGTCTCCGATGTTCGATTCCTCGATCATAAAAGAAGGTTGGATCACACAGCCTCTCGATCACTTCAATCCGCGCGACAATCGTACTTGGTCAATGGTATGCGTAAAGTGAAGGTATTTTCGTAAGACGAGGACGAAATTTATGTGTCTTTTCATTTTATTCTGACAGCGATACTATGAAAACGACAGCCTTTTTAAAAACCGCGGACCGATTCTGATCATGATCGGAGGGGAATGGGAAATATCAACGGGCTTTTTAAAGACTGGTCTGATGTACGAAATCGCACGCACTTACAACGCAACGATGTATTATACCGAGCATCGTTACTACGGAAAAAGTAAACCGACCTCGTAAGAAATTCATTTCTGACCCCGACGAACGATCTTGCTCACCTTCGCGCTAAAACATTTTATCGACTTCCGCGTTATTCTTCGTATCTCGTATCCTTGGATCTTTTTTTTAGAGACGTTTCTTCAGGAAACTTACAATACTTGAGCGTGGACCAAGCGTTGGCCGATTTAGCATACTTTATCGAAACTAAAAAGAAAGAGAAAAGACTCCAGAACAGTAAAGTCTACGTCTTTGGAGGGTCTTACGCCGGAAGTATGGCAGCTTGGGCTAGACTGAAGTACCCTCATCTCGTTAAGGTATTTCCCTTTAATTTTTCTTTTCTTCTTTCACGGTGGATAAATATTTCCTCAACTAATTCCACAGGGTGCGTTGGCTAGTAGCGCTCCAGTTGTCGCAAAGGCCGACTTTCGTGGTGAGCGCGACAACCTTTTACAATTTAAACTTTCATGGCACGTGTAAAAAACCGGTTCTCTTTGTAGAATATTACGAAGTTGTGGCCAACTCGCTTCGCAGACATAGTCAAAAATGCGCGGACGACATTAAAACTGCGTTCGCCCAGGTCGAGGAGTTGTTGGCGGCCAAAGATGGCCCGCAGAAATTAAAATCTTACTTCAAGTAATTAACGCTCGTTTCTTTATTTCGTCGTATCGCGATCGTGCACCATGCTCGCGCTATTAACCCGATAAATTTCAGTTTATGCGCCGTACCAAACGTGAACTCTGGCAGCGACCTTGCACACTTCATGAACTCTTTGGCGGAGGTACGCTTTCCTACAAAGTAAAACGCGTATCGTGCTATCATTACGCACGTTCTGCTCAGAGTAACTCTTTATTTTCGACAGACGTTCGCTGGTATCGTTCAGTACGACAATGTGCAGAACGGACAAACGAAAATTGCTGCTTGCTGCAACAAAATGACTGCGCCAGACTTGGGTACTCCTCTCCAGAGATTGGCGTATCTAGTATCGGACAAAGACAGATGTTTGCCGAACAATTACCAACAATTTGTTAAAGTTTACGCAAACGGAACTTGGGAGTCGCAAACCGATATCAGTACGTCGTAATCGGCCGAAACAGTTTTATTATCATTTCCAATCATTTCGATAATTTCAGTGAGACTGTGGTACTATCAGACGTGCACCGAATACGGTTACTATCAAACCTCCAACTCGAAGAAATCTATTTTCGGATCTCTGTTCCCACTGAGTTATTTCACGAGCATTTGTACCGACTTATACGGCGATTAGTATGTATCGTAGACCTTGGTCTGGAAGAAATTACGTTCGTTCTCTGACTCGTTATGCTATAAATTGTCCCGTTGCAGTTACGATAGCGATTTCTTAAACACGAGGGTGAAAAGGACAAACATAATGTACGGAGGCTTGCAACCAGCTTTACGGAATGTAATTTTCACCAACGGAGACGTCGATCCGTGGCACGCCCTTTCGGTTCTTCGCGACGTGAACAAATTCTCGCCCGCCATACTTATCAATGGTAACGGGTCAAGATTACGCCAGGTATTCGACATCGACATTTAATTTCTATGATCGACGTTTTGGTTCTAGGATCGTCGCATTGTAGCGATCTATATAGCGACAAAGACACGGACGTCGAAGATCTCGTGCGTGCCAGGGCCAGGGTGCGCAAGATCATCGGCTCCTGGATCAAACCTTAAACTTGGAACTCGATTTACTTCGAAGAAAAAGAGAAAAGCGAGATAGATGTAGAAAAATATTTATTTATTTTCATCGATAGTCTTGATAAAATTCTGTGCAACTTATGTCTTAATTATGTAATAATGTCCATCCACAAAGGGCTAAACCGTAATTCTAATTTTTAAAATGTACTCGTAAATCTAATTGAAATCCCTCCGAATTTGGGCGATTCGTGCTTATTTGTAGGCTCGCTACGTTCGAGAGTAAAATTATAATATACAAATGTGCATTTCGCTAGTTCTAATAGCCGCTCGGTTAAAGTCGTAAGTAAATATTAATAATTGGTCGTGCTTGGGAAGCAATTCCATCGACCGAGATCAAAGTTTCAGCGTTGTTTTCCTCTTCGCGAATAATACCGTACCGATTTCTCTATACCGATTACCAAACGTAACTTGCTACAAGAAGAATGATATCGAGTTTATCTCGTCGACAAGGTAAATACAGTTAACGGCTGTCATGGTAATATATTCTCGGTGATCGATCTCTGTTGATCAATCCACTTCGAGCTTTCTGAAGGAACCACTGATACCGTACATGGTGGAATCGCTAGAGCCAATGTCCGAGCAACCAAAACCTTGTTTCAACGCCGACACTGCCCCTTCTCGAGCCTTCTCCGAGTACAACTCCAAAGACACTCTCATCTTGTCGTGACTCAGCAATACCGGTCTCATGTCCATCAACTCCTGCCTCCAAAGTGCTAAGCAAACAATTCGTTTCGCGCTATACGTACAACTACGTTTCATTCACTTTAAAATCGCGTTCCCCCTTCGCGATAACGTTATCGGAATAGTATCTATATCTGTAGCTGGATATTTACCGATCATTTCTTTCATAGGCATCGTTCCGCCGTATTCCTTGGGCAGCAGGTTCGTGTCCATTTTCTGATTCACAGCGTCCTCGAGGCTGGTATAGATCTTGACTCGCTTCTTTATCTTCTCGGAGATCAACGACATGCCAAAGTCGAGAGCAAATTTCACGGATGGGTGCGTATTGATCGCGTGAACTTCCTTGTGTCGCATCGGTATAGTCCTCTAAAAGAATTCATTTTTAAGGGTTCGCTAACAACATCGAATCCTGTGCAACGTCTTGAACGTTTTCAGAGCGGTTATCGGAATGTTTAAGCATTTGAACGTAACGATTTCAGAATGAGAAACCGAGAGGCTGGGTCTACGAAAACCGGTTACGGCGTCTGGTCGTTTCGGAAGCGTTACGAAACGCCGTTGCATCATTGTCCTTGAATCGAAAGCGCCTTGTAGCCGTAAAGTCGTTCCCGTTCGAGTTGCCGGAAGTGGTAAAAAGGGAAGTGCTCGTACCTCGCCGTTTTTTACGATGCGGACAGCCTCCTTCGGAGTGAAGAGCATCAGGTGCGGCAAACTGACGCCGGCCCCGTCCGCAAAATGCACGAAACCCCGTACTTGGCTCTCCTCGTCCTCCATCAGAGTCTCGTAAGTTATCGCGTGGATTCTACACATGTCGGCGTTCGAGTACTTGTGGGGATCGAAAACACCTGAAAGCACGTTCCACGCTTGAAACGCGAGGATAACAGATTTCCTAACGAATAAACATCGATCAACTAGTTGCAAAAGATATGAAAGAGTCGTTGATCCGTGACTGAAATCGAGAGCGTCGCGTGTAAATATTCGAGGCTGAAACGGAGAAGCGGAAACCCTCTAAAATTTGTCCGACAAGCCGTAAGGTATTATTTGGGTTCGAGAGGAAATTAACGTTTACCTGGTCTGGCGATTACAACACGGCGACCTTTCGAGTCACGTCCGGGTACGGCGAACAGATATCTGAAGCAATACAACGTAAACAGGTTATCGACGATAAGGACGCGTCTATTTCGTTTCGCCAGTCTTACCCCAGGGACAACAGCTCTTCCATCGTTTGCTCCGTGGCGTCTAAGTGATTGAAAGCCGGATGATAAACTTGCCGGAGAAGCAAGTACCTCTCGATGGCTTCCTCCGCCATCGGTACGTTGAACTTTTTACATCTCAAGAATCTCAGTAAAAATTGGGCGTCTGACGAACGAGAAACACAGAAATTTAAAGCACCAACGACGCTTCGAGCGCGCCTATCGAACCCTTAACCGGTATCGCGGACGATCTCGACAGCGGCTATCGTTTATTTAAATTATATTTTGGTAGATCGGGATACCGGTTGAGGGTTAACAGAGCGCGTAACGGAGGATACTTTGCGTCGTATCTAAAAGAAACTATACGTAATTCTCTCACCAAGGCGACAGTTTTGTATACGTGGGTTCAATTTAATCCAATTACGGATCTGTTCGACGGCCTGGTCCCGCGTATTTTTATCTTCCCTGAGCTCCTCCTTGGCCAGAATCTGCGTTTCCTTCGAAAGGGGACATTCGTAGTTGTCTTCCTCGGTTACCCACTCGATCGCTCCCATTCTAGTTAATTTACTCCTGTCCCGGATACAAGCGGCAGGCAACTTCAATTTTTTCGCGATCCAAATTATCGACCGATCGAATCGTTCTAAAAGAGTATTCGACGTTTATTATTAACGCTTCTGAAACAATGCTTTTTCCCCGTCGCTTTCGCCGAAACGGGGTCAAACGCGTTTCCTTGTCTTCTCGGTACGCAGCTGCCCTCAAACTGCGGCTTCAAACGAGCCACTGACATGGTTCCCGGCATCGTTCAAAGTCAAGCCATGAATGAAAGCGTATACCACGATCAGAACAGATAAACTGTAAACTTTCTTTCTCCTGCCGAATCGTGGATCGCAACGGTTTCGTAATTCTCGCAGGTACTATTGAACCCATCGGTGATTTGGTGACATAACAATTTAGTAGCTTTATGATATAATGTACGAACGCCGAGAAACATTACGTGTTCCGCGATACCAACATATGCCGTAAGTGAGTGACTCGTTTCGCAACAACTTTCTCCGGTTATGCAATCGGCTGAGTTGTGAGCTGTGCGCCCATCTTTGTTCCCCGATTTTGTACGGCCGACTAACACGGTTCGATAAAATATTCCACCTTCCTATTAAATAACGTTTCTGGTAAGTCTTCCTATTTTACAAACCAGCCAGATTGCGAAATACCTATTAAAGAAGCCGGTCTACTGATTATTTAAAGATCGCGCTGGACAGATTGCGGTCATTTTCCTAATAAGTAACTTCTTGCTAAAAAATTCCATGCTCCTGTTCTCAAGGATCAAAAATGTAAGGATGAAGGAGACTCGGTGCAAAATAACTGGAGCTCGCATCGAGACGAGATAAATGAAACCTTGTATCGCGAGGTCGATCGATGATTATTCAACGATTCTGTACTGCATAAATGTTGCACTAGACGTTTTGCATATGTAATATTATTTGATGACACGTCATGGCTGCGCCTTTGATATACCAAAAGTGGTAAACAATGTTACTGTCGTGGATCGTGACTCTTCCTCTATCGCTATAAATTTCATGGCAACGTTACCGATTTTTGCGAATTAAACATTTCGCACGCACAACGTCAATGAACGCAGCATATACTAATCGGGTTACCGTGCAACCGGGGAAGTAAACCGCTGCAACTATCTTCCGCGTAGAAAGTGCTACTTATCGCGTTATTACTCTTGGAATTCTTTCTTTGATACCAATTGCCGTTCACCCCGTAGCCAACCATGGTTTTTTTTTCATTGGAAACTATGCGTCATTAGGTCACCGCATTTTCATCGAGATTTCCCTTTGAGGAGAGATACTGATTCCGTGGACAATATTAATACGAATTAAAACACGAAACTGTTCCGATTTACGTAACCGACTTGTTTATACACTTTTTTACGTGTTTATTGCTTTAGGCAATATTACGAGTCGGATAAACAGTTCGGTGGAACTTACTATTTCTATTTCCATCGCAGCAACTATCGACTATCGTTTCTGCTTACACGGTGTATTACAACATTGCTAACTTGATTAGGGACATGTCCGGGCACACATGTTTTTTTTACGGAACAAACGTAATTCAGTGTTTTCAAGGATAACCACATCGGTTCAGACAGAGACATTGTTCTGTATCCTTGACACCTGAAATCGTCGACCTTCGAAGACAAGGTCGCTACACGTTATTTGTACTTAAAATTCCCGACGCGTCGGTTCTATTGAATTTCGTCACAGATCGTGATCGGAGTAACGCAATTAGAATTTGCTACGGTCTTAAAGGTGAACTACGTTTTCCTGACGGAACATTTAATAACATGGAGCACTGTTTCGATGATTAAAAAATGATAAAAAAAAATATTCGAAACGTCAAATGTTGGGAGAAACGACGTTGAAACGCAGATGGCTCGATGCATTGTTGCTAGAATTATTCTCAAGAGCAAAATAAAAGTAAACAAAGTATAAAATTTGAAAAACTTGCACGATCGTAAAAGATAAATCGATCGTCCTGGGTAACGTTTTAGAAACTTTAAGATTTTAGTATCGTCGAAAAACTCGAAACAAGTTTATTCCTAGCGATAAAACTACAAAAATTAACATACCCGAATCGCAGTCGCGCAGTTGAACACTTGGAGGAGACTGTCTCCTCTTGACTGTCGATCGCTCTTTTATAATTTCCAGTCGCACCTTTCTTCTGGCTCCACCTCCGGTGTTCTTGCTGTTGTGTGTTCTAGTGGAATCCGGGGACCCTTCAAGGGACAACTCACGCGATACCGAAACCTTTTGTCAATTACGTTCAATTGTCTCGGTCACGGGATGCCAAAAGTTTCTAACGTCGCGTGTCAAATGTCTCGTGATTATGCGTCAAAGCAAAACACTAAAATGCCTCGGTTTACCTAATTCCCCGTCTTTTATAGATACGTAGACAGGTATCATCGTTCGCCTAAACGAAGCGAGACAGTGGTTAATGTCGTAACAACTTTTTCCTGCCATCTTTGGGCCTGACAGGTTTTCTCACGAAACTTTCCGAAAATCATATTCTTCGTTCGAGCGTAAAAATCGAAATTGTTCGCGCGTGCGCGATGCGCGCGAATATGTAAAACATGCGAAATATAACATGTGTACATTATTAATATTCTTAAAAGCTGACATTTACGCGAGTGCACACATCGATGAAATAGTCACCGAAATGGTACTTTTTTTACTGTCTTATAATAACATTCTATCGAGAAAATTCGTTGCACCTTTTATACCGGAAAACGGACGCTCTGATCCATTACTCATTTGCTTCGGCAAAGTCAGACACTTACGTATATGAAAAGAAACTTTCGAGAAATTGCGATAAATTAGATATAAGAATGAAACGAACCGTGCAATGCGTTATTAATTATTTTTTCAAGGAAAGCTTTACAACCGAACGTAATCTTATAATCTCTTTCTGGATAGTAAGTTCTATCTACGATTTTAATTGAAAATTTTCTCTACCAGGCCACTTGAGAATATTAAGAATTCATAAAAATTTTACAGCTAGGAAATGTTTTCGTTGCACACTAATTGGGAAACTATTTGCATAATGACATTGACACTGATAATGTGTTTGCTATCAGTTGAGAGTATAGTTCGAAAATAAAATCCTATGGGTACGGTACATAAACCTGCATAAATTTCTAATGACTAACGCGCTGCACATAAACTGTTTCTACATTACGTCACTGATCCACGTAACAACCAATTATATGGGAAATTTCTTTTCTGCTAGATTCATTTCTGCGGTAAGTTCGACGGTACCTTATAAACATTTAGTGTTACAAACGAGGACAGGGAACGTTATCTTTATTCGGTACTAGTGTCGAAACAAACGTAACACAACATAGTAGAACGGAGCTTATTCTTCTCCTGACATTTACCCATAAGTAAAAATAAATATTTGCAATATAAGGACGAAGCAAGTACAAATATAAGACGCTGTATCTAATGGGGTGGGTTTTTACGGTTTTGCATAATGGCAATGATCGTACTAGCATAAGCTCACGTAATACTTGTTTTAGTACCGTTTTCTTACGAAGCTTTGACACGCAATAGCTCGAGCAGGTACAATCGGAAAGTGAAATGCTACTATAAACGCGAGAATGTTTCGACTAGGGATGGAGAAATTACGTGCGTGAAAGGCCTTCGTCAGTAAATGCGGTTACTCGAACGAAATTGATGCAACGTTCGCACTAAATGGTTTATCTCACGAAGTAAACAGAAACAACAATAAAAGTACATTTAATTTTTCTTTATTACACATGGGAAGTACCTTAATTTTAAAAATCACAGGCATACTCCATTATACTTGTACGCTATACAAAAATAATAATAATATCCTCTAATCTCAGACTTTGAAATGTTATATTGTTGAGCAATTTTAAATATAAATTATAAACGATACAAACGTGATAACGCTTTGGACGAGGAACTTTATCTAGTATTAAAATACGTAAATGCGATTGACGAGAATATGAAAGCTCGATTGTAACGTGGAACTAACATTGTAACATTCGAATATTGTTGTCGAAAATAGTTTTAAACTAAATAACAAAAGTCTTATTCCTTCTTATAAAGGAATAAAGGATAAAGGGACAAAAAGGAATATGTTTCTTAAAACTGAACGATTATTCTCAAATTCATTCTCTACCAATAATCTGTGTCTTCGCGTAAGCTCCTTTGCAACCGCTGCCCGAAAGTGATAAACTATGTTTAATCTCGTTAATTTGATCTTGCGATAGTTGCAAATCACTTTGTCGCGCCACATCCATTATGCACATCTCCAGTGCCTGTTCGCTTAAAGGTATATACGGAACGACAAATAAATCGATTTGTTCTCTGATAAATGCCTTGGTAATAATATCTTTGCTTTTCACTAAATCCACTTCCCGTTCTAAATAATCATCGACACCTTCCACGTTAAAAATGGCAAATACTGTAACGCAATTTTCTTTGTTTTTAACTAATATATCCAATAGAGTAGCAAAAATATCTAAATTTTTCAGTTTCAAATTCTCTATGATCAGTAATTCGTAAGAATCGAATGCGGTTAACTTGTTCTTGTCTTCCAATTTTAAATCGTACGTCAAAATTCTTTTTTTATGCGGGAAATTTTTTTTTATAATTTCGACGGTATAAGATTTTCCGACACCCGTCCCACCAATGAGACAAACGACCTTTAAATGATAAATATCCTGATTTAAAGCGTAGGTAATATCGGAAATTGCGTTCGTTTGTCCATATATCTTTTGTTGCATTTCAGTGGTAGCATTTGAGAACAGTGTAGCACGGTTGCAAAATGTGTTTGTAACAGGGTTCAAAAACAATGCAATTATTCCCACGATAATTGGAGTTATACATAAACATGCTAAGTTACAGTAGCACATGTTTATTTTTTTTTTTAATGGAACTTCTTTTTTTGGCACTAACGATCTAAGGTTCTTTTTTACTTCCGAATATGAAGTTTTAGTCTTATCTTTTACAGTGTCGCATTGTTCTGACCTGGATTCAGGACAGGGTACAGGCTCCTGTTTATCAATTGGATTTGTGTTGGTCGATGTAGGTTCCTTCGCAGGATTCACATTATCAATTTCCATATATTCTATTTCGTTTGACCTCTCATTTGGCTTAAGGTTTGACGATTGTATTACGTTATTGGGCTTATATAACGGCCAGTTGGGGGCGTTTAAAGTATCAGAATATGGAATCGTTGCCTGCCATTCTTTTCTATATTCCTTATCCACAGTATGCACCACCTCTGATATCTTCAATTGCCTGAAATTACAGTAAAATTTAAATTATCAGAGACAAAGTTATTTTCGTAATTTCATACTTCCACACACGCATTAGATATTTACCTGGTGTTTGCATTTTTGTAAAAAATTTGTTCACAACTGTATTGTCTGATCAAGTCAGATGGATTTTTAAAATAAGATTTTTCCACGTGAACTCTACGAGAAGACGGCAATTCGGAATAGCTAACAGCTTTGGTCAATTTACAATCAGTGTCTGAATCCAATAATTTCAATGTTGCAAAATGTTCTTCCATAACATCAAATATAATTCAGAATATCGTTTACAGTTGACGAGCAAAACATAACCTCAAAAATTCTATGAATTTTTCAATTTTCGTTTGTTTTTATCTTAAACTATGGAATATTTGCATAATATTTTGAATTATATGTTAAAGTCAATAATACTTTCAAGTTTTTAACATTTAAATATTATTAAACGACAACGTTCAACCTTAGCTGATAACAATCGTTCAAACCACCGTTAGCATTTAAAATACAATGCCCCTAAAAAAAGTGGGTAAATCGATTGTACGTAGATTATATATTAATTTAATATTTTATTGTTTAAATAAACTAACATAATAGTTACAGCAAATATAATGTTAGCAAAAATATGAGAAAACGTAAAAAAAGTTTAATTATATAAGATGGTATGGAATTATAGTTATAACGTTCAAGTGAAAGCCTTAAACTTTTCCAATTGTACATTTTAATTCAAATGTTAATTCGGTTATTTAGTTTTACAAAATTATAAGGATAAATGAAACAAGTGCTAAAAGATGTTTGAAAAACGCGCGCAATTCAGTTCGTTCGTTCCGTCGATCATGGTCCAAATTCTTGTGGTTCATGTTCAGGCTCAGTTTCTGCTCGTGTATTGACGAGCGAACACTGGATGGTTTAGGTGCGTGGTTATTTTGTGTTTTCGTGATGTGACATTCCTACAGCGAAAATAGTAAAAATGCAATCGAAACAACTGCTGATACAATGTCTCTGGATTGTGTCGATGTTCGTACTTGCTGACGCCAGAATACACAAACTTGAAATACGGGTTAGTTGACTGATTGTGAAGCAATAATGCATTATATTTATTGGCTGATTTATTGTTACTTCCTCGTTGCATCGATTATGTTTTACCAGTACACATAATTAACTGAATCATCTAATACATTCGAGTTACGTACAAACTCGTAATTTTTCGATAATGCTGTAAAGGAATTTAATAAATGAATATAGATATATTACCCGTAGCATCGTATTTACGGTGTCTCTGTGAACTACGTGTACTATATCCGAATGAAACTTTGAATACAGCATACGGTGGAAAAAAGTTTCTGAAAATAATTCGATAAGTTGTGAAACGGATGATGTATAGGTTATACGTCAATCGTGCTTCGAACGAACATCTCTTTTTCTCGTCGCTTAGTCATAAACTTTTGTTACGCAGTGCCTTACCCTTACGAATTTTTCATGTTACAGAAAGACATACGCAGATATATTGCCCTGAGTACGTTTGGTTTCTATAAGGGTGGTATTCTCGCTGTTCATTTGTCGAATTTCAAGGCCGAGCCTTTCGACGAAAATGCTGTGGTGAGTTATCGTAGCGTAGATGTTCGCGCAATGTATACTATGCGTCGTCCATTCACGGACACCTGTTTCCATTTTCCCTCATTCACACCGCTAAATTGCCGCTAGGAAAGTACTCGAAACCATTCTCTTTCCGAGTACTAACGCTTTCTGTACAGGTTCTGCCAAAACTCGCAGTACAAATTAAAAAGATCCGATCCCTCTCGTATAAACGAACCGAATATCTAGAATTTCTATTTCCGTACGAATATTCATTCTCGAGATAATCGATTTTGAAAATACATATCTGGGGTGCGCGCAAACGTAACTAACAAACTTGTAGGTCTTGATTTCGCCTATCTATCGCGCGTGCACGTAAACTACGTAACGTTTCCAGATAAAGAACTGTAATTCGATATTTAAAATCAATGTACGTTTTCAAGCTCGATCTTTTCTAAACAATTTTAATACCGATAAACACTTCGAAATATTTCGATATTTTCGATCCGTGAATAATCGATTAGCATCGATCAGTGGTCCCGAGATAGTTGCTTGGTAAAACGCCACGCTTTTTGTCGTGTTTTGTGGTTTCTAGAAAAATCGCCTTATATTATTTGTGTAATGTGTGTGGTTTGTGTTTTTTACGATTCAGTTTGGGTTCAGTTTGGATCGAACGTTAAACGACGCGATGAATCCGTATTTAGATAATCACCAGGAAAGATGTGTGCTACAAAATATTTCGAACGTCAAGACCGATCTCGAGCAGAGGAACAAGAACGCGGTCATATATTTCACAATGGACTTGAAGAACTCATTGTAAGTATAGACAAAGCGTTCGAATCGTAGCTAGTATTTCTTGTTTACAGTTGTCGTTTCACGGTTCGATTAAAATTAATATGTTTCAGGTTAAAAGTGAACTGCAGTCGGAACATTCATACTGCACACATCTACAGAGATACTGACATGTTGTTAGATTACCGAAGGAAGAGAGACTCTTTCCCGACTAGGTTTAGCGATACTGTTCTTTTCCCACGGAGAAAACGCTATACTCCACACGGTGTGTTAGACCTTTTCAGTTATTTTAATTTTTTGCCTATAACGTTCCGAGAACTTGACACCGTTTTCTAGTCAGGTTCTCGGAAAAATTTACCTTTTTCCGTTGCATAAAAAAAAGACGGACGATTTTAACGAAGGAGCAAGGGTTTGATTCGTTAGTCGTAGTGCGCTTTTAATTTTGGCAAGCCTCCAAACACAGGAAGTTGACGCGCGATAAACCGCGTGGAATGGGTGTCACGTGTTACCTCGCGACACGTTGAAACTTTCGCAAGTTTGCTAATCGATATTGCTATGATTTATGATGTCAGTTATACCCGGCAATATCAGAAATTCAAGGAATTATTGATTATTCGCGATAACGGTTCTCGTCGCTATAAAAAATGTAAATTTTTTAATTTGAGAATATTTCTCGACCCCGATTAGAATTTGTTATGGAAGTTAATCGCGCATTAACGACGCGTTACTTTCTATTAAACATTACCGTTTGATAAAATATTGATAAAGATCGAAATAGATCGGAAAAATTTAGGAAATGACACGGCGTTGCACAGCTCAACGTAGAAATGCTTATCGGTTTGAATAGTGCCGTAAAAATAAACATCCCTGCATCCGCGAGTTAATTTTAACGCGGTCCGTTACTAACATTAGAAATTCGGTTTCCACGTAACATGGAATAACAGGTGGAAAATGAAAAGTTGGCACGAACTACATCGATCGCGACCTTAGGATGTAGTTATTAATGTTAACTTTTACAACAGCAACAAAATAAGTACACTTTTCTTTATAACACGCTACACCTTTTTAAACGATCTTTCTCTACAGTATCGGTTACCCGCAAAGTGATTCTCTATTTTAAGTATGAAAGAATCCTTAAATGGGATTATACAATAGGGTTTGCCTACAACAGTTTATAGTCGGGCTCTGATCGATACTACGAACGGTACGACATTTTCGTTGTTCCGACATGTAAATAATATTTCGTATGTTTAATGTGGAGAATTGAAGAAATATCTAAACGAGATTATCCGAAGATAAATATTGATAAAACATTGATACGTAGATAGTTACCGATGCACAGTTTCCTATATAAAACTATATCGTTGGATTAACGGTAAAAATTGGGACTATAATATGCGTTCATGTTTAGAAGATATTTTGAACGAACAACATTATCGTTTGTTAATGCCCAAATTGCAAAATTGCAATAGCGTACCGCGCGGCCCGTGGAACTAAATACGAGTGTGATCGATATATTACGGAATGTGGATGTGAAGCGACATCGGTGATCGAACACCACCAAGATCAGAGACGCTATAATTAACGTGACTCGTCCTCAATCTTATAAATAACTCGAAACTCAAGTATTTTTGTGGGTTCGGTTAGGTAACTGTCTTCTAGAGAAATACATTTTATGCCAATGACCATTCAACCAAATTCTACCAAATTTTTAACCAAGTTCGATTCACGCGATAGTTTAAGGCGATTCACGGGCAAAGTAATAACCAGAGGTGTTCGTTTTCTTAGGTTACCGCAGTGTAATCTTAAAAAAAAAAACACAAATTTTACACGATAAGAGCGAATTACCATTGCAGGTGTCGATAAATCCGTTGTCGAGGAAGAGTTCGAATCTAGATCGGAAAGTAACGCTTGCCTGTTGCAACTACCACTGGTCGTGAAAACTATAAAAGGAGAAAAGTATTACAATACGAGCTTCGCGATGTATGTCGGCAGCGAGGAAGAAGAGGGTCTTTATAATCTTTACTTTCACAATTGTCCAAATTATAAATACAATTCTCAAGTCGCGTTAGACTTCACGGTAAAACACCTTCTTCTGTGAACTGTATCTATATACGAGCGTGTGTCTCGCAGGATTTTGACAGACATTCGATGATCTTTTACGCCCAATTTGCAGATACAAATATCGGAGATTAATAGCGGAAATTTCCTAAGCGCGGGGGAAATGCCTCTGCCCGCTTTATATTTTATGATGGCGCTATTATTCTTTTTGTCGGGTTGTTTCTGGGTATTTATTCTTAAAAAGAGCAAGTAAGCGATCCGTTGAAATTTGACCAGCGCAGTTTTACAGCCGCAACTTTTACACCTCAAAATTTTCTTCGTTTAGGCATCCCGTTTTCAAGAGCCACTACCTAATGGCAGTTTTGGTCTATTTGAAATCTTTGTCGCTGCTCTTCCATGGGATTAATTATCATTTTATTCAAACGAAGGGGGAGCACGTGGCTGCTTGGGCGATACTATATTATATCACGCATTTACTCAAAGGAGCCGTGCTTTTCATTACGATTGTTCTTGTTGGCACAGGATGGACGTTTATTAAACACATTCTAGTCGGCAAAGACAAAAAGCTCTTTATGATCGTGATACCGTTACAAGTTAGAGACAAAATTCTATTCGTATGTAATTCCGTTAAGGTAATCGTTTAGTAACAAACTTCCAACCCGATAGGTATTAGCGAACGTGGCTGAAATAATAATCGAGGAAAGCGAGGAGGGAGACATCGAACACGAGACTTGGCGGGATGTTTTTATTCTTGTCGACTTGCTTTGCTGCGGTGCTATTCTATTTCCAGTAGTTTGGAGTATCAAGCACCTACAGGAGGCCGCGGACACAGACGGCAAGGCAGCTGTGAATTTACGCAAGCTCAAGCTTTTTAGGCATTTCTATATGATGATAGTTTGTTACATCTACTTAACGAGAATCATAGTGTTCTTGCTCAAGGTAGAATTTTCGTTTTATCACGACGTTCGATCGTTTTGCTCGCGTAAATCAACAACTAAGTTTACGTATCTTCTTTGAAGATCACGGTACCTTTTCAATACGAGTGGCTGGACGAAATGTTCCGTGAAATGGCCACTTACGTATTTTTTGTCGTTACCGGGTACAAATTCCGACCAGCCTCCGCTAATCCGTACTTTACTTTAACCACCGACGAGACATCCCAGGCCGACGAAGATGACGAAATGGATGTCGTGTGAGTATTCACCGTTCAAACGTTTTCCTATAGGAATATTATATCGCAAACCGCGATACTTTACTCGTTATTTTTCGCTTTTGTCGTGTCTTCCAGCTGGACGTATCGTATTTTATCCAGTTTTAATATGACGCTACCAGTTTTTTTTCCAGTGTTTCCAGAGGTAGCGGCATCACGGAGGGTCTTAGCAAAGTTAGCAAAGTTAGCAAAGTCTTGAGGCCCACGACGTCGGACGTTCCATCCACTCAGGAGGAAAGGGACTCTTTGTTCAATAAGACAGAACCTTCCCACGAATACGATTGAATCGAATAGAAATTCTTCATAATATACCGATTTCAGTGTGGACGAAAGCGAATAGGACTCGCTTTCCCATCATGTGATATTTCGAAATAGTGCTAGCGGTTGAAACAACATGTAATACACAGAATGTCAGAACATGCTTGATCAAGAGGAGGAAGTGTGGGTAAAGGTAGCCTCGATCTCGCTCTCTCGATCTGTTTTTGTACCTTTTTGTTGAAGCAGATAAGCAAATACTTATTAAACGATCGTTCATTCTATCCCCTCCCTTCCCTCTCAAAATGGTGGTAAATATTTTTCCATTATTCGTTCTTCGTATTCGATTTTATCGGAGGCGTTTTGTTTTTATTTTATTTCGTCATCAATTTGTTTTTCTCTATACATCATATTTACCATGCGACGCGCTTCATTCCGAGTATCTTATTCACTTCTCGAAACGTAATCAAACTCGGACGTTGGAGTTCAGTGTAATCTATAATTATTGGTAGAAAATTGTCATAGATATTGGAAAAAAATTAACGTAGAAGACGATTTAAAAAGTTTAATGTTTTGAAGACGCGATGTTACGCGTGTACGCGTTAGGAGGAAATTTCGATGCAAGTCAGACAACAGAAAATTTAAGTTTTGATACGCATCTTGTAGCTGGTTTTTTTTTTTTTTTTTTAGGCATTTAGGAGAATCGTAAAACATTTCAACTTGTCTTTTCACACGACACGCTTAGTTTTTCCGAAGCGAAAAGCCCGATTCGCGGCAAACGATCTTGTGATAAACGATACGCGAATATCAAGTGTATCACGATCCATTTTTGTAAACCATTTGATAACCTTTTATGTAGAAATAATTCTGATGTCAGGAGAAAACGAAGGTAAAAAAATTGTACAGCGTTTAACGTGTCCCCACTGTGTAATACCAAACTATGGCTATTACCGTTATTACTACTTTTGTACACAAGTTATCATAATTATTGTTACATGTGTTACTATTAATATTTTATTGTGTATAATAAAAGGGACGCGTTACAAAATCAAGTTGAAATAATAAAGTGGATATTTTTATGAAAGCTCTCGTCTCCCTTGGAATTCGTTTCCCATAATACAAATGTTTACTTTCAATTCTATCGCACGAATATCAATTTTTTTACGTCAACAATTAGTTAGATACAATCGATCGATTAACGGATACGATTGAAAATTTAATAGCCGGAAGTAAGTCGCGATTAATAATCAGAAACGGCTGTTTCAAGCTGCGAAGCAAACGCGATTAATATTCTCTTGATCCTTTCTCTTCAGATTAGGGGTCAAAATTGACTCATCTCGGTCGGTGGACCGTTTTCAGGCCGACAATCGGATCGAAATCTACCCTGCGGGGGTGTGAATAATGAATTGCTCGGCATAGATGCTCGTGGATAGGAATCGTAAAGATGCAGCGGGGTTTGAATGATCTATACTTTCTGGGCATCGCAAAGTGCATTTAAACTAAGGCGTTCGCATTCTTGCCTGTCGTTATCGGATCCTCGAACGTTCGTGCGGGTATTCCGATTCTTATTACTACATCTTCGTCCCTTTTACCCCAGAAACATCTCATAATACCGCTAATCCATTCTCCTACATTCAACAACAAGGTTCTCCTGCAAGGTCGCTATCCCTGAGCGGTTACCTGGCGTAAATTCTTATCCTGTGTCCATCCGATTATCTTGTTTACCGTCGCGGAATTTTACAGAAACCGTTGTGCCCTTGCGCGACGGACCAAGGGAACGCTTCGCAGTCGTTACACAACTTTTGACTCGAACGGATCGCGTTTTCGAAAGTCTCCCAATTATTCTCTTGCTCTCTCGGATACCATGGAACGTTTCCGTTCGGTTGTACGCCGTATTCTGGAGCATGCGTCTCGGCGTCCCGCCGCCCGGTAGACGTGCCCACCGAACTGGCCGCGAAATTCTCCAGTCAGCGTCGCGACGCGCTTCAAACGTCTTTTTCCGCTTGTGCCGCCTTTTACTCTCGCGACACCCAGAAATCGGCGCGAAATCGAAAGGTCGACAAACTCTCGGCCAGCAATTAGCTATTTCTCATCAGGTTTACAAAGCACATAGGATTTTTGTTAGTTTTTCCAAAGGTACGTACAACTCGTTGCGAACGAATACATTTATTATACTCGAAACATCGGTAAATATATGTGTGTTTTCTTTTTAAAGAACAACAGAAGAGACCCAGAAATTATACGACCGCACCGGAATATTCCCTCGAGTCCTCTAGATTTTGGCGAATTTTTTTACGCCTTCCGCGACATAGATTTTCGTGGACCGCGTTGTGTTTAACATTGCACGTAATATATAGGAAGTTGTTTTTAGTTGAAAGTTTTGTTCGACGACCCAGTTACGGAGTAGGTACATTATTCCGAGCTTTATTTTCATTCACTGTCTCTTTTGCCGGAAGCGATGCTCCTACAATGTATTTGGTCTTATCAGATCCCGGTATAGGTTCCCTGTTTAAAAACACTGGTGGCCAGGTAGTTTTCTTTCACTGCTAATTTGCTTTTGTTATCCTTTACTCGTCGTCAGTGTGCGTGCGTGTGTGTGAAATAATTTGTTTGCGTTCCTTGAATTAAACAGTGCCCAAAAAGAGAATATTGATCCCGTGGAAAATATCACGGAATTTGTCCCCGACAGTCAATGTGTTAATCCGTGTACTTGGCCGAATAAACGGTTATCGGGACGGGTATGTATTATAAATACACGCGAAATGGGGATCTCCACTTATTATCGCGGCAGAGTATAATTTACGAAAGGGATGAGCGAGCGAAGATCCAGATGGGTCTCGTGGAATCTAACGCTGAATTATTAGGGGATTTCCTGGCACAGGGAACACTTTGCGCGCCGAATAACGGTGCAAATCAATATAAAAAGCATATTCCATTTACAAGAATCTCGTAAATAAGGCCATTTCCGAGGTCAGATGGTAAAACAAACGTCACGTTTTCGTCCGAAAGTTTGACGAATCGTGAGAAATGTGTTCTTAAGTATTTCTTAGCAAAGAGAATATTAAAATTTAATAACTCCAAAGGTCAGCTTATATCGAGGCCATTCCACAGTTTGACTATCCGTTTTTCCGATATTATCTTCCGAAAAGGATATAACTAAGCCTTAATAAAAATGTGACATCCGAGGTTTTGCCATCCGCAAATTTGTTGGCCCAACTTCGCGACACCTATGCTCCTAATGGAATCAGAAGTTTCTCGGGCAAGTTCTCGGGGTCGAAGTTACGCGGACCGGATACCGTTGTAATTTTTTACGTGTAATTCGGTGCGGAAGTCGCCTTGTTGCCCCGTGGACCGCGATCCCTTCCGGACCCTAGCAATCTCGCGCGTCCATTCGATCCTTCGGGTCGGAAAAGAAGTTGGCCAATTGGCGAGTAAATCACCGCCGAATCTCGACGTTAATGTACATGTTATCGATGACGTTTCTCCGCGCGGCGAGACAGCCTGATCTCGCGGCGTCGTTACGACCTCATTTGAAATCTATTCACGAGTCGCGTATCCGAGCGAAAACAGTGCGGGTTCCCGTCGAACTTAAATTAAAAATGTTGGACGCGCGACGTGAGCCGAATAATCGAATCGAATCGAATCGAATCATCCGCCCCCGATGGGCAAACGCACGATATCTCGAGCATCAACGACGTAACGGATATATTTATTATCACGCGAGCACCAGCGATGGATACGTGGACGGAAATTGATGCATCGACCAAGTTGCCAGCGTGATACCAAAACCGATGCCAATAAAAGTTTCGGCCTGGACGAACCGTTTATTCGAATCTTTTTATCAAACGTTTCGACGCTCGCGTCCAGGCTCGTTTCGCTAAACGATCGCGAGAACCCGATATCGATCCAGGAACATTAAGAAAACGAAAACGAAATTTTGAAGAGAAGAAATTATTTGCTATCTGTTTGAACTTTCGTAGCGTATTATCTCGACGCCATCGAATCCAGAGGTACGGTTTGCTCCGGATTACGCTACGAACGGGTTCGAATTAATTTCTGATTACGCACGTAAGTCACATACCATCCGAGTGGGATTACGTTTACAGTATGCCCGTAGATTTCGATTCTGAAATTAATACAGTCCTTACGTCGGTTCTATTTCCGGATCGGTTTCGTTGTTTCCTCTTATCTGAAACGTGTTTTGCGGGAGACCTTTCTGGTACTATCTCAAGGGCATCTTTTGCGTTTCACGCAGCCATTACCGAAAGTTGAGGGTGTTAGTCAAAAGGTAACGATCCCTGGCATCCGATAAAATTTTCATAACGGAGGGTCGCGCAAACAAGCATCCTTTTCCCCCGAACATATTTAATACCGTGGGGTTTAAATAATTCGTTCCGGGGCCCTTAGCGAGCCCTCTTCCGAGCTACAATCCCATAGCGCGATTGATTGTGAAAGCAGAAACTCGTAACGGATCGCGTCAAATGGCTGCCTCGGCTTTCCCCTTGCCTTTATCGCGAATTTAGGTTATCCATCCTAAACTTCCGGAAGCTACGAACAAAAAAGCTCCCAAGAAACCCTACTAAACCTCGCCATTTTTTATTTTAAATTTACGATATACCCTTCTTTCCTCTGCTTGGATTAACTTTTATTCGAACTTATGGAAGCGCCGGGATAAAGCCAACATAAACAACGACTACATTTAGTTTGGAGCGAACTCTTATTTTTGTCCAACGAGAACGCTCGGGTATTTGGCTGTATTCTAAACAATTGTTTAGTTACTTTAAAACGGATTTCGTGGCAAACGTTTTCTTGTTTACATTTTTACAAACGCGACGCTTCTTTCGGTTTCGAGTCTCGAAAAATGTCTTCGAGACTGATCGAACTACCGTCGATCGACGCAATTTAGAAGACGATTGGATCGAACCGTTCGGGATCGTGATAGGTGTGGTGGTATCGTATCCTCTAAACCGTACGACGATACATTCGAGAGGAAAAAAATTACTAGCTCCTCGTGGAAGAAATTTTCTCGACGGCGTATACCGTGCATGTTCGTGGATCAACGAAGATCCGATAAAGTCGGACCGAACGTTATTCGAAAAACACTTTTACACTTTTACGCGATATTTCGCCGATCAAACGCTTACCATAACGCTTTAGTATTTGCAAGGCTCCTTTAGATAATACGATATTGATTCTCACGATCGAATCTGGACTCTCGGATTGTAAATAGGTTTTTAATTACTCAGCCACCGGTCACTCGAGTCGGAAGGAACATAAACAGTACTTAGGGTGATTCGTTGATCTTGAAAAAAGTTTACGCGATTAGACTAAACGCGAGTTAGAATTTATTTATATCCTAATTGCTCGGCCAATGGCATCGAGGACCTTCGTTATCGAACGACCTTCGTAGTGGCGAACAAATGGAAAATTTTCCGTGCACCGAGCGTGTGCAAGGCATTTTCCCTCCACCCGTTGTGGCGTTTCCGCGAAACGATTGTGAAATTTCCAACGTATGGAAGAATTATACGCAGCATGCGACGGGGATTATAAACTGGACTCCATCAGGATCTTCTTTCACGTGGCTAGGTCCCGGCGATTGGATGCGGACGAAAGACGAATTAACGGGGTATTGAAGTTCTTCGGGCGAATAATCCGACAAAAGCGCTTTCACCGTCGCGTCGTCGACGAATCTCGCGACAAATTGCAACCACTCGGATACCATCGGTCAGGAAGTCGTTAAAGTTAATTATCGCGTGTCTCGTTCCGCGATGATTGCCGCGGCCGGCAATACAAAGCAAAGCGTCGAGTTAATTACGCACTATCGGGAGATCCGACTTAATCCGTGGAACGCGATCTGTTTCGCAGGTACATCGTGTCCGTACGAAGAATCCTCCGCCGCCATCGATCCCCTACAATCCCGTTTATTCCCGGTGCCAAGTTGTGTATTTGTTTTGCTTCCACCGTTCCTCGATCGATTATCTGTCGAACACGAATAACGAAACAGCCGTGCGTTCGAAAGTTTGTTGTTTAATTCTGTTCGTGGCGTTCGGATAACGCTAAAAACTGTACGCAAAGAAAAGCGGTGACTCAAAGTCCGTCCATGTTTACGCGGACCGTATCATATTTTAGTTTAAACAAAATCCATGGCACGGATGGGAAAAGGCGATCGATTTGACGTGGAATGACCCATATCGTATCTGTGCGGGGCTTGACCATCGACTGCATCTCCGTTTAGATGGGTTGCCGTAGGAAGCGACGAAGAGAATGCGAATGCATAATACACGAACCATCGGGTATCGAGTCGCAGCTGTTGACTAAATACGGGGACAAGATTCCGAGGAAAACTTAAACAGTATCAACCGAGTGAGTCGCACACGTGGTTAAGGAAACTGCAAACTTCCCCTCAGTCTCAGACTTTTCCAACGTGTTACGATTTTCCGTGTTGCTGACTCGATCATTCAATTTTCCCGGTGCCTTTCGCTTTTCTACGCGGGTTGAATAAATTTTTGACCAACCCGTTGCAGGACATTTTTTCAAACTATCAGGTTCTATCAGGGGTTGAAAGCAGTACATTACGTAATCAATTTTTACGTAGATCTAGGACACCTTCCGTTCGATTACGACGCGTTAAACGACTCTAAGTTCGGATCCCAGTCGCGGATGGTACGCGAGATGAAAGCTTTTTGACGGTTTCGTTTACGATCCTTGGGATATTCACGTCCGGTTTACGACCTTCGCAAAGTAGATAATTGCCTGCTATCGCGTAACGATCTCCCGACCACTGAAAAGGAATGACGAATTGAATCTCGAGATACCTTATCCACGTCTCTCTCGTAATTCGATCGCTCTACCATCGTTTTTCATCGATCGGACAGTCTTATTTCTCTGGCCCGTATAATATCCCGATTATCGTTCCATCTTTCTCCCCCTCCGTTCGAACCATCTTCCACTTAACGTCTGCGCGAATTCGAGCAAAGTTTCGTACGGCGAGCATATCGAACTGCTTGGCTGATTTACAGGAATCCATTTCTTGTATTTAAAATCTCTCGACGCTCGATTCTTTCGAACGTCTACGCAAGAGATCCCCCCCCCGGCAAAAAGATGGCCGCGTTGTCGGGGGAAGAAAAACCGACGGACGCCAGATGGAAACGGATATAATTCACGTTTCGCGGTAATAACAAAGTTTTCCGCGAGAAGAAGCACGGCGAATTGGAATCTCGGTTCGAGGATGCGGCGTGCGTACCGAAACGAGGGAACGGTTTAAAGTCGGTGGCGCGGAGCTCGAAGAAACCTCATCTCTCGCAATTAAAGCATCGGTCCGACACAAGGATGACCGATCGGGGAAATATCCTGCTGCCAGGGAACCGTTACGAGGTCGACTCCTTTGACATCGTTAAACATTCCTACGCGGAACGCTGCCACGAATTTAAGGTTCTGCCTGTTTGCATTTACTTTGATCTCGACCGGCTACGCGGAGATTCAGGAACAACGCATCGCTGCGACAATTGCATCCGGAATCTGACAAAGCCAAATCGCGAATTATCGTTACTCGGAGTTTCTTGTACCAATGGTTGAACCGTACGCCGCTTCGACGAGTCGTAGGGTTTAATTATGGAGAACTTTCGCTCCTTATTAACGCAATCTCCTCGAATTTCGCTACGCGCGAATATTCGGGTGTTCGAGCAGCTCGCACGGTCACCGATACGTCTTCGTGCACAATGAACTAGAACGTACTTTGGAAAGAGAGACAGAGTAGTAACTGGGAAGCCAGCGAAGCGTCTATCGGGAAAATAAATTTAGCGTGACGGCAACTTTTCTCGCAAAGGGTAAGTTTTACCCTGCGTCGAAATCTCGATGTACTTCCTCTCTATTTGATTACCGCTCGCGAAACGTCTTTCCGGCACGATTTCGTAAGCGTTCCACCGTTGATCGTTACGTGGCTCGTTAAAGTTACAGAAAATAATTAATTCGAAATTGTTTCGCGCAAATATATTGTATATTTTTACAGCGAATCTTGTAATTTGATCCGTGGCGTACGAGGCAAGTGGGATTAAAGAAGATTGTTTGTTTTCAGGCGAACGCGGCAGAATTTCCCGGCCGAGGAGCAAAATGGCTGCGTAAAAAAACTGTTCGTAATGGCGGGTTGATTCCCCGTGGAAATAGGTAGGGGTATCGTCGCCCAGGGAGCGTCGAAATTTACGCGAACGGCTTAAAGTATCTTTTTTTTTTTCGTAGTTTTGAACGGCCGCGATGAGCACGAGGCCGCCGCTGCACCTGTTGCTTTCGGGACAAATTCTACCGTGATCCTTAGACGGCCGTTCGTTGGAACTATTCTCGGTTATTGTTACACGATGAAAGGAACGCTGCACGCCGACAGGAGTTCGAGCCGAAAAAATGCACGAGTCGTACGACGTGGAACGGAATTTAATACGTAGAACGCGCGTTGGAACGCGGACGTGCGCGATCTAAGATGAGATGGACAATCTAATACAGTGTTTGGGCAGATGTAAATGTGAGAAAGAGAGAGAAAACGAGTGCACGCGCGAGAGGGGGAGAAGCAAGATGAACAACGTGGCGAACGAAACGGAAACACGGATATGCATTCTACCGGAAGACCTGGAGGTTCTCGAGGACCCTCGAACGCCGTCGTTGAGAAGGATCAGCTACGGCATTATCCTGCCTGCTATCTGTTGCTTGGGAATCATTGGGAATATCCTGAATCTGGTCGTCCTCACGCGACGCAATATGAGAGGAACAGCGTACATCTATATGAGGGGTAAGTCTCGTTTCGTTTATTCGCCCCGCGAAGAATTTAGAGCTACGTTTCGCGCCCGGTAGTCGAAGAAATAATATGCAAATAGGGTGTAATTATTGTCAGCGTCGGGCGTAAGTTTCGCAAGAAGCGACGCAAAACGAGAGAAGTAGGGTCGTTAGCAGAACGCCACGTAATATCTTGAAATAAAGTTATTCCATGTTTACATAATATTGGAATTGAAAGCGCCCTTTGCGTTTCAGGATTCGAAACATCGGCGATCGTTGTATTAATATTATTATTTCCGTTAACGAAATTTTGTTGCACGCGACTGCGATAATTAAAAAGTGATCCACGAAGCGAAGTTGTATCGAGCGTCGTAATTGACGCGCGAATTGTAAATTTGTAGTTAAAGGTAGAAAAATATGGAATCCCTGCCAAATGGGACGGTGGGTTCTGGATTTTGACTACGGGCCAAAGTATTTGCGACACTGTCGCGTTCGAATAACTTCTAAACTAGATTCCCGGTTAAACTTTTATTTCGCGGCTTATCTGTTAGACGCAGTCCCCGAATTCATTATCGGGTTAACTCGTGTCTAAGCCCGCCTTATAGTTCGAGTTTAAACGTTTAAACTTTGGAGGATATCCGTCATCAATACTGTGTTTCTTACGAGTTGTTTGAATTTTTAAGGTAAGGTATTTATTAGGTCGATGGAACGTTTCACCGACTTGAGTACGATCGGATATTTCGTTGATTTAACGAGATAACGATCGAAAGATGGTTGGCTAGGATTTCTGAATTTCCCGGTTTACCGTCTGAAAGCGAATATTCGGTGGTTTCCGCGGTGCCCTCGACGTCCAGGCTCGTTTCCGGCCAGCCAATGACAGTACATTAGGGGGAAATTACTCGGCAATTCGATTTCGACGTTTTCCTCGTTCCTGTCTCTTTGTTTCGAATGGATCCGCATTCGCGTCACTTTGGACGGTATCTCCACGTTCGAATGAATCCGTTGATACCCCCCGAGGATCGCGAACTGTCCCTAACGAACCGGCCACGCGCCGATTATAATTGTCTAATGTTTACCTGGCCGTCGTGTACTCACGGACGCGGTATAACGTGTAATATTCGGCTGCAATTTCGCCCCGCTAAAACACGCTATTATGGAAGCCCATGGTGAATCAAATTTGCATTTCGACAGAGATTAATTTATCGCGGATCGTTAATTCCCGTTATATTTAACGGGCAGGCGTGCGGCATTCGGATTACACTCGCTGTGAATTAATTACCGTTGCGTGCGACGCACGCACTTGCCTGAATCTCAATCGCGTTTTCCCCCGTTTTCTACCCTAAAACGCCACCGGAACTTTTCTCGAAACGCTTCGTTAAAATATTTTATCATCGAATAAAAAACGAAAAGATCGTTCTTCGTGATATTCCGTGGGTGGCGTCGCGACGGACGGAAATCGGGAAAATCAGGCTCGGAATGAAGTAGCAATCGGATACGACCATCGGTACCCGCAGAAACCGATCCTTCCCGGACGCGAGATATCGCGCGAAATTTCCGTTTCATTTCATTTTACAGAGGCGTCGAATTCTGCGCGTCGTTGTAGATCCCCTCGAATAAAAGTCGAGGACGATGTCGAAACGGAAGAGGAAACGAAAAGAACGCGGCCGTTCGATTACATTAACCCGCTCCGTACATTTTCTAATTTTTTATCGAGCTTCCTATTATTTTGTGGACGTCTTTCCAATTACCTGGACCGCGTCAAGAAATTGCAGCCTATTAACCGAGAAGGAACTATTACCTTCCTCCGTCTTTTCTCTCCCTAAACCATTATCACCTTTCCCATCGAGCTTCCGCAGTTTTTCCTACGTCGATTCATTTTTCATAGTTTGCACCCCCTATTCGGCCCTCTTCCGTCACTCTTTTTCCTCGTGTTCCCCCCCCCTCCCCCCACCCCTCGCCCGTTTCACTTGTCGCCGATCCTTCTTCTTCTTTTTTCCCCGATTTCACGGAGCTTTCACACTTGGCAGGTCGAATCCACCGTTCGATCTCGGGTCTCCGTCCAAGGTTTAATTCGTCTTGCCCCGAACGCGATTAAACTCGCTACTAATTGTAAGCTTTGCAAGACAATACAGCCCCCCTCCTCGCGTTTAATCGACCGCGTGCACGTGTATTATAGGCAATACCGTCGTCGCACGAGACGCGATAACGCGTTTGACGTTCACCCGATTGGTTCCGTTCGCACCGGTTCGCACAGCGATCCTAAGATCGATCCGAGATCCCGTCCAAGGGCGAGGGGAATTTTTGAACGGGACCAGATGGAAATTGGCAAACGGACGGACGATTAGCCGCGTTGTAAACGTCGCGGACAGATCGTGACGGGAATTTCGCGCCCCGAACCATCGGAAAAAAGCGTTTCGCGTTTAGAGAAATCCCTTTCCCGTGCGAATGCGAAATTTAAAAATCGAATTTAGGACGAGCGGGCCGAGCGTGTTTCGGCAATAAAAAACGCATCCGACGGTACGGATCGAATCGGGGGTGGGATCGAGACGCGGCGAGAATCGAAAGTTGTTTGCAGACGAGAACGGACATATAAATAGAGGGATATGGTTTCCGCGTACTCGACCCTACGAGTCTATCGATATGCACGATGTACATCAGCGGCGAGGGAGAGGTCGAGGACGTGGACGAGATCGAACTAAAATGACATGCCTTTGAGTATGGAAATGTTGCGAATACCGGGATATTGGGACAGAATTTGTGCGTAAGAAAATGCAATTTGAGACGTGCATGGAAACGACGAAGGCTACGATCGAATGTTACGTACATGGAAAATGGGGTCACACACGTATTGAGGCATCGTCGTTTCTATTATTTCTATCAATTTTCAAACGGTGAAAATAGCCCCCGAATTGGGGGCGTTGAGAATGTATACTATATTTACAAAGATACATTTTTTTTTATATAATTCAAAAATACGTAAGTACCCTAGACGTTCGAAAAATATATTTCGAAACATTCGATCGTAAAAATCGGTGCACGAGACTTTGATACGTTCCCTTATCAGATCGTATTGTCGAACTACTTGGGGCACACGCTCGTATACGCAGAGGATTATTGTGGATTTATCTGCGGTCGATCGTCTATCCCGATCAACCCTTCAAGCAAACCTCTACCTCGTTTATGAGTCGTTTAAATCCTCCCATAGACGCAAGGGTTAGCTCGATCATTTTACGAGGGGTCCTATCTCCGGAGGGTTGCATCGGACTCTTGCAAAAAAGAAAACTTGCTTGCTTCGATCGAAGTTTGGAGGGGCTGCTAAACCCTGAAACCGTTCGTTTATGACTCTGATAACGATCGGATGTCTAATTATTCGCGCTTTGGCGCGAGTGAGTTCACGATCGTGATCTTTAGATCAAGTAGATAATACGCGCGGAAGCCTTGGGTTGGCACTCCTGAGCTCTACGACGTGGAACACATACTCAATGATCGTCTTGCGATAAATTGACTCTTAACTACAAAAGTCTCGAGGATCGCACGTTTTTCTCAGCTAGTCCGTCGAAAAGATATCTAGATTGGTTCTTCTTTCCATTTTATACGAACACCTGTCTTCGCGTGGAACGATACATCGAAACGCGGGGGGCGCTTGTCCGTGACAGAGAGAAAACGTGATTGTCAAACGAAATAAAATCGATTCGTGTGATCGATCGTTTCTTTGGGGAAAAAATCGGTATCGAAGATACTTCTTATTTAAAATGAAGCGTCGTTTGTGTATAAATTGGCACTCTAATAAATGAATTTTAAGAAAGAAATTTTACGGGGAAGCGAATTTGGATCGAAAAGTGCATAACGGTTGGTTTCGGAGGAGATTTAACGCTGCAGGCATTGGAATGTAACCTGCATCGAAGAAAACAGTTTCGATTCTTGTCGCGTTCCAATAGCGGGCCAAATGCTGTGCGAGAAGACACCGCGAACCAAATTACGAGCCAATTTCCTTTCAAAGACTTTAGCGTCGTCGGTGAAACTGCACAGGCACATTTCCGTTGCAACGGAAGCTAAGCCCACGAATAAAAGATTGCAACGAGCTTCCAACAGAGTCGCTTAATTATATTTTGCCCGGGGAATCGCCGTGGAATCTTAAACGCGTCGCCATTATTTCGAATCTTCGTGCATTTCAGGTATAAAATAAATCGAGGCTCGTTTAGAATTCGCGAAAAGAGTAGTCGAATCGAAAGGGAACATAATTAAATACGCAAAGGACGACTCTAAATGCTTCAAATTGACCGTAAACGATGGTTTCGAGAATGTTTGCGATCCGTGGTCCCGGAATATTATCAGCCTCTTTTCGCGATATCGTGTACCGTTAATCTCCGGAAGGTTTTTATCGCGTTGGAGGGGTTAAAGTAAAAGGATCACCATTAATGAAGTTCGGAAGAATTCGAGGTGTTCGCATTAACTGGAATCGCAGTAGTCTCGTAATCCGAATGAAACGAAGTGTGCACGGCGCTCGGACTGTGCTTTCTCGGTTATCGTGCGACCTTTTCCGCCCGGAATCCCATTACCTTCTTCGGGGAGAGTAAAAAATCTCTCGTTCCGTCGACGAACTTCTTCCCCTTGGTATCCGTTTGTCAGTCGGTTCGTCGGTTATTGCCTCTTACGAGCCCGGAGGGTTTCCCCTCCTCGTGGAACATCTACATCGCCGGAACGATGATTTTTCCTTCGAACGTTGAGTTCACGTTCGCGTTCGCGTTCTCGTCGCTCGAAACTTTATGAATATTAACGAGCCCGCCACCGCCTGTTGCCGTGTTAAGCGCTGCCTCCAAACTACTAACAACTCCCTCTTAATCTAGAAGGTTACCGTAATTAGCATTCGTCTTCGAAGCGAAGTTTTCGCGACGATAACCGGGGCCCCGGTCTGTTTCGTCGCGAACACGGAATTTAAGCTAGCTTAGGCGAAATCGTAGACATCGGAAAACCGTGGATTTACGTCGCGGCTAAATTGCAGAAACTGAAAATATT